ATGGTCCGCATCCTCCAGGCGTGCCTGGAGTTGTTCAGCAATCACCCACTCAAATCACCTTGCCCAAGAATGGAAGATTTGAGACTGGGCGGTAGTTGGCCATATTGGCTGGGTCTAAAGATGGTTTTTTATGAAGCGGTTTAATGACCGCCTCTTTCAGCGGGTCTTGGAACGCTCCCTCAGAGAGGGAAGCATTCACCACCCTGTAGAGCCCATTGCCCAGCCCTTCCCAGCTTGCTTTTATTAGCCAGGATGGGCAATGATCAAGGAGACAGGTGGTTGGTTTCACGCGTCCAAGCAGCCTGTCCACATCCTCGGGGGTAACGGATTGAAATTGATTCCATGCAACTCGACCAAACAGGGCTCTAGCACTCTCCCGCCCCGGCCCTGCTCCCATGGTGGTGTCTACCTCCTTCCGAATCTGAGCGACTTTATCTGCAAAAAACTTTGCAAAATCGTTGCAGGAGATCTTGGGGTCTTTACAAATCCCTAATGGTAAAGGTGGTTCCGTTAAATTGTTAACCACCTGAAAGAGTCTCCTGCTACTATTTTCTGCAGATGCAGTAGAGGCAGTGAAGAAAGTCTTCTTTGCCGTCGCTATCGTCACTTGGTAGGCTCGATGTTGAGCTCTAACCAGTGTCCAGTCTGATTCAGAATGAGTTTTCTGCTACCGGCACTCTAGCCATCTCAGCGATTGTTTCATTGCCCTCAGATCCATGGAAAACCATGGGGTTGTCCGGGTTCCATGCAATTGGAGAGGGCGCTTCGGAGCCAGACAGTTGATAGCCCTGGTTAACTCCGCATTCCAGCGGGCCACCAGGGAATCAACTGAAAGGCCATCAACATGGGATAAAACATTCCCTACAATTTTCTGGAAACCATTTGGATCCATTAAGTGGCAGGGGTGGACCATCCGAATTGGTCCCACCTCCCTGCAGAGGGGAAGGGTCGCGGAGAAGTCCAGTTGCACTAGGAAGTGATCTGACCATGGCACTTCTTTTGTTTCACTTTTACTTACTGTCAGATCACCCACGTCACTAGAGGTGAACACCAGGTCTAAGGCATATCCGTGACTATGAGTTGGGCCAAACTTATTCAGGGACAGCCCCATGGAGGCCATGCTTTCCATGAAGTCCCGAGCGGCCCCTTGTAAGGTCGTGTCAGTGTGGATGTTAAAATCTCCTAGGACAACTAAGCTAGGTGTCTCCAGGAGAACATCCACCATGACCTGAAGCAGCTCGGGCAGGGAATCCTTGGTGCAGCAGGGAGGTCAGTACACCAAAAGGAATCCTACACTGCCCCTATTGCCCAACTTCCAGAACATACACTCAGAGAACTGGGTCTTCCCAATAGGATGCCTGATGCAAGCTAGTGACTTTCTAAAAATCACTGTAACCCCCCCTCCCCACCCACATGACCTGGGTTGCTGTGCGTAAGAGAAACCTGGTGGACAAAGCAGCAGCTAGGACAGGCCCATCTGCTTCATCCAACCAAGTCTCTGTTACACATGCCAGGTCAAGTCCTCCATCCACGCTGTGGTCTTTTGATGAAGTGTACTATATCAATTTTAATAATAATAATAATAATAATAATAATAATAATAATAATAATAATAAAAATAGCCTCAAGCAGCAGCAGCAGCAGCAATACTGACACCAAATATGGCCCTCGGTTGCAAAGCTCAGCCTGGCACTGCCCTCCAGCTGTTTTGGAAAGCGACTCCCATTTGTGCTGGCTGCAGCTGATGGGATTTGTAGTCCAGAGCAGCTGGTGAAAGCTGGGAGAGGACAGCCAGCTCCTGGAAACCTCAGCTCAGCAAAGCCCTTGTGAAGGATCTGCACAAACTTTAAAAAAAAGCCAGACGCCGATGGCAGATTTTTTGGCAGCTGTTGCTGGACTGGCCAAAGAGCTCTTAGCTGGTCTAGATTAGCTGGCCTGGGATCATTAGCCTAGATTAGCTCTGGTGGGTTATAGCTGAATCCTGATTAGTTCATCTGTGTTGCTGAAATCCAGATTAGCATCTCTGGCTTTGTTAGCCCCGATTAAAGCTTTATAGTGGGGGGCGGGGGGGGCTTGGTACACTCCAGTTACAGATGAAAGCAGGGACCAAAATGCAGCAAGGAAAGGCAGACAGACCGTGGGCTCTCTCTCTGTGTGTGTCTGCCTCCAAACAGAAGTTTGCTTGGATCAGTGTGGGTCACATGGAACTCAGCCTGCCATCCAACAGGTGAAGTTGCCCTGCAGGTGCCCCAAGACTCTGGTTGTTCTGATTTATCTGTTAAGAGTCCGATAATGATGGCAGAATAAACACAGACATTGAGGTGGGCCTTGCCTCTTTCCGTGCCCTTTCAAAGCCCACTCAACCTGAACATTAGTACATTTGCAAGACCTGTTGCCCAGCCTCAGGACCAGATTTGGAGCCTTTCCCTTTTGACTGAGCAGTGCCCCTTTCCAGGCACCTCCTGTATGTTTTGGCCCTTGGCTCTGCTCTGCTTAAAACATCTCGTGTTTTAAGGAGGTCACTAACCCCAGTGGAATAGGGTACTTGCCACCCACTGCTAGACTCTATGATCCCTGCCAGCTTCAGGGCTGTTCAGCAACAAATATACCTTGTGCATGGGAGCTCTAAACACCAAGTTTTAGATGTGGCCGGATAGCCAAAGACAGGGTGGAGGTTTCTTTGGAAGCAGGCCAGCCTGATTGTGTGCTTGCTTCTGTGTCCTTTCAAAGTCTGCTCAACCTGTATGCTTACACATAAAAGTATTACAAAGGCACTGCTACAGTCTCCAGAAGCTTTCCTCCAAAGGGAGCTTCATAAAAGGGACTCTGGATTTCAATTGCTCCAAGGTGAGCAGCACAAAACACTGTTTTCTGCCCAAAAAAACCACAATGTTGTATGGGCATACTTGCCCTGTTTTCTTGAAATTGTAGTGATTATATATAAATTTGCTTTTCTCTCCAAATATCAGTAGTAGCATATGCAGACCCATGTCCTCTCTTGGGGCCACACTCGGCCCCATGGCGAAAGGGTGCAGGGGGCTCATTTAGCCCAGAGAAGGCTCCGGGGGAAGAGGCTGGTGCGCTGCAGCCCAGCAGAGGTGGCTGCTCCCAGACCTGGAAGCTGATTGAACAGGACAGGTTGGGAAGTGCACAGGAAGCAGCTCTGCCCAGAGCTGTCCCCCCTCATTAGCAGAGAAGTCTGTCTCTTTCAGCTCTGATCAGGTTTTGTGGGCCCAGCCAGCTCACACGTGGTTTGCACGGAGGGCAGCTCTGCAACCCAAAGCTGCACAAGACTTGGACTTGGGGGGGGGCATTGCAAGTAGGGGGCAACTGAACCCTCCTGGAAACATTTTGACCTGGAGTTAACACAGCCTCCCCACCCCAATGCTGCATGTAGACTGATATACCCAGGCACCAGTGATTTCAAAGCCATTAGATCAAGAAGCCCTGCAAACCTTCCTCTCACTCAATAGCTGTGGGCAGTGAAGTGCCAGGGAGTGAACAAGCACCTTGTTTAAAGAATTTCTACCTTGATCTTCAGTCAATAAGTTTCCATGCACAGCGGGGGTTCCCAGTGTTTCCCCATCCCCAGGAGCCTCTAAGTTCCCCCTTCCCTTGGGCAAGAGATGGGTACCTTTTTCTCCCTTGGAAAGTACATAGAGCTAAAGAAAGAAACTGCAAGAGCGGCACTCTTTCCCACCTCCTCTTCCAGCTCCTGTTCAGAGGGAACAGGGGAGAGAGAAGACGCCCAGCCCACATTCAAAAATCCAAAAGCCCTGAGGTCTAAAAAGGATGGTGCCCCCTGACCTATGGGTAACATTACATGTGTGAAGCACCCATACTCCCTCCCCTGCAAATGCACCTACAAGTGTGCTGCCTTACAGAAAGGAGAGATCTGAGTTTACCCCGTTCCCCTTGCTCAGTTAACTCATGTGCCCAAGTAGTCAGTGTGTGTCACAAGTCATTCTGTATTTTCAGTTACTAGCAACAGAACGTGGGCCCAGGAGCTGAAGCACAGGGCAGCCAATGCTCTGGCGCTGCCTTACAAATCAAGAGTATAGCCACAGCTCACCCATTCCTGGATACTTTCCCCACTTCGACAGATATGTATTTTGCTGAGGGAACAGCTAGGGAGGTCTCTAATATACAATAAGAGAGAGCCAGAGGTGGTGCAGTGGTTAGAGCATCAAACTAGGGACCTGGGGGGCCAGGGCTCAAATCCCCACTTGGCCACGAAGATTTCATTGAGTGACCTTGGGCCATTCTCTATCCCACCCTACCAGGTTGGGGTGGGGATTAAATAAGAGGGGGAGAACCATGTATGCCACCTTGAGCTCCTTAGAGAAAAAGGTGGGATATACAAACAAACAAACTGCTTTAAACAAAACAAATGATGACATTTGCTACCCACATCCGACTGCCTCAAAAAGAATGTCAGAAGTTCCCTTTAAGTGCAAAGTTAAATTCTCAAACCTGCATCAAGTTATGCAAATGTGTAAGCATGCCTTTCGTTTGTGTAATTAAAAGTTGCGGCAGGCTGCCTCTGCGTGTCTGGAGCAGATTGAGGACGGGGGAGGGCGTGTAACACCAAAATGCCGCTTCAGCCCCCGCTGAGGCATGGTGGCGCCAGCCGCCTTTTCGGTTTGCTGGCGGATATCCAGGTGCTGAGGAAAGGCAGGAGGGAGATGCCTCAGAGCCCTGCCCGCCCACTACGGACACACGACACGCATCGCCTTCTGGAAAGTACGCTCTCTGTATTTGTTTCGGAACATCTGTGATACAGGGTTTCATCCGGTATAAATAAAGTAGAAAATCTTACAATTCATTTTCGTCATTATTTTAACAAAAATACCAAAAAACTTATTAAACCTGAAATTAAAGGCGGGGAGACTCTAGCAATCACACGGGATTCCAAATCACTGCTGGAAAGGGGAGATCAAAAACACTCGTTCGGCATTATTAACCTTCTCTCTGCCCCGGGTGGCAGGGTGCTGCCGCTGCTGCAGAGCAGGCGCCCCAGAGGGCGGTGGGGTGGGGGGCAAGCCGTTGGTGGCCCCAAGCAAACAGAGCCCCCCTCAAGTCCACTGCGAGGCCTCTCTCTTTGCTGGGTCTCAGTACCGTACAAAGGGGTTGCTGTTCTGCTGGGTTTGCGTATCTGTTTGGACCAAAACACAAGAGTTAGAATCTACGTATGAGCTTGCAGGCAAGAGAGATGGGTGGGCAAGAACAGGAGAAACAGAAGGTTTGGCCCTGGTGCTGTGCTCCACATTAATTGGCCTAATCTGCTGGGCATCTCTGGCAAAACCAAACAGGTGAGGCTTTTAAGGAATCGCCAGTTCCTCTGAGGCATGAGTGATCACTTTGCTCCACATCCTCCTCCTCCCAGGGGTGTGTGTGTGTGTGTGTGTGTGTGTGTGTGTGTGTGATGCACCCTCACCCACAGCAATCAATGCTCCAGTCAAGCTGAAGCAGCAGCACTCACCTCCCTCCCTGCAATGCATGGCTCTTCCCCAGCACATGGGCATGCGCGAAAGTGTGAAACCGTTCCACAGCCCACAATACGGAGTGCTCAAGAAAGGAATCTTGGGCTGCCCTCCTCTCTGCCACCCCACCCCCCACCTCGCCCTGCAGAAACCTCTTTTTGCAAAAGCCGTATGTATTCAGTAGGTCAGATCACAGCTGCTTAGCACGCTTCCCTTGCTCAACCCTCACAAGCTAGGGGAAGGTCTCTTTCACACAGGGAAACAAGGGCAGCTCCCTCCTGGGAGCCTGGACTGAAACCAGCCTTGCAAAAACCTGCAAGCTAGATGAGGGACGGGGGAGGGGGTGAGAAAAACAACCCTCCACCAAGAGACTCTTTCCAAGCTGGGGCTTGACACTCTTACGTCTGGGGACTCTTAGCTCCCTGCTGCGTTCAAAGCCTATCTTATTCTCGTGCGCCATTGGGGCCATGCATGGCTGCTGCTGCGGCTCACTTGGGGAAGAGAAGCAAGGCAGGGGTGGCTGACTAGGGACAGCGTCCTGCCTCCTATCACAGAGGGAGAAGAGACCACATTTCCTATGATCTTTGAAGAGAGGGCTTTCACTGTCTCCTGCACTTTCTTCTCTACAGAGCATCTTGAGCGCCACTTAGTAACTCCTGCAGTTGGCCAGGGGGACCCTGCTGTACTCCCATGCCTCATTTGCCTTGCCTGCATTCTCCACTAGTGGGGAGGAGGGGTGCTGTGCCCAGGGGACTGGGGGAGAAGGGACCCGGGCCTTACTGGAAAGCTGTTGCTGGAGCTGCCGAACCAAAGCTGCCGTCTGCTGCTGCTGCTGAGTCTGCTGGAGGCCTTGCCGCTGGAACTGCACAGGAAGGAGAGAGGGAGAGAGGGAGTGAGAGAAAGAACAGATGTTAGAGGCTGGGTGGGAAAGAGGGAGAGGCAGATGTCCTGGGGAACTGAAGGGGCAGGGCATACTCACCAGAGGCTGCTGAGGAGGGATCCCCAGACCGGGAGGCTGCCCTTGGGCCTGGGCCTGGGGGACTGTGGGGACCTGGGGCTGCTGCTGGGACTGCTGAGGTGGGGGCTGCGGTTGCTGCTGCTGTGGCTGCTGCTGCTGCTGCTGCTGTTGCTGCAGGGGAGGAGGAAGAAAGGGAAAGAAGTACAGCCTGTTAACAAGGCTGGAAACATCATATTGGCTGTGTTCCTTCTTCCACAGGGGCAGTGGCTGCCTCTGAATACCAGCTGCCGGAAGTGGAGAGGCTGGATGCTGCACCCAGGTCCTGCTTTTGGGTCTTCCCATGGTAATCTGTTTGGTCCCTGTGAGAACAGGATGCTGGGCTAGGTGGGCCTCTGCCTTGATCCAGAAGAGCTTTTTTTCATGGTCCAATGTTTTGCACAGCAAGGTAGGAGATGTGTTTCGTTCTCATAATCTGGGGGAACCTATTGCCTTCCAGCCCCAAACAGCAAGGCCAGTAGCCCTAGATGAGGGGAACTTTTGTTCCCATACCATCTGTGAAGGCTACAGATTCTCCACCCCTGTTCTACTGCGTGGACACAGAATGTTCTCAGCTAGGCTGGGAGCAGTGAAGGGACCAGCACAGGTGTCTGCAACGAGGCTTAGCCAAAAGTCATCCTTCCTTCCACTAGTGGCGATGTCCACTAGCATAGGTGTCTTTGAAGAGAAATTTTAAAAACCCACACGGATGTTTGGCTCGTCCACGGTTGCTTGCCACAGAAGCTTAATGGAGCCTCCAGATGCAAAAGCATTGTACCAGAGGTGCAGGACAAACAGCAGAGGATGGCTCTTCCACTGCCATCCGGCTGGTTGGTTACGGATGATCTGCCAAGGCTGTTCTCAGGTTTTACTGAAGACCTATTACTTCCCAGCCCGCCACCCCATCCTCTCACCTCTCACCTCGTCTGCAGCACAACCCTTGGGGAGCTCCAAGGAAGACGTCTGGGAGGAAGGAAGGTAAGGCGAGTTGAGTTGCTCACGCATCATATATTTACTGCACATTTAAAGCACATGCACACCAAGAATCTTTGGAACTGTAGTTTGCCCTTCACAGAGATATAATGCCCAGCACTCTTAACAAACTACAGCTCCCATGATTCTTCTTTTTCCGGGGGGGGGTGCTTTAAACGTATGGTGTGTACCCAACCACTGTGAAAGGTTAATGGAGCAACCACATCCAGACCCTATTGTGCAAAACACCAGCTTGTGTTGTGAAAAAAGCCACCTCAAGGTTTCCACTCAGCTTGTGCAGAAAACTTTCTTCTGACACCAACCAGGCCCTGTTACTTCACAAGGTCTTGAAGATAAGACAAGAATGAGGACAGTGAGGCACTTGTTTTTTTTAAGAGTGTGAAGAAAGGAAGGAACACGAAGAAAGCAGTTGGGGTCACATGACACACCGAGGGATGATCCCCACTTTGGCAGGTTCTTTGTGAGCACATTCCTATCCAGTCTTTACTCCTCCTTCAGGAATACAAAAATAAAACAAGATGAAATATCAAACACATGCAAAATAAAATGAAATCAAGATGTAATTTCTCGAGTAACAAGAGGGAGAAAAGCAAGGAAAACGATCATGGGTGGGTGTTTCTCTATACGGCAACAGAGCAGTCCAGTCACGATTTAATTCAGAATCGTTCTTTATAGTGAACAGGAATCAAGTTTTTGACAGATGAACATTATTACGTATAATTTGGTGGAAAATGGAATTTGTTTTCAATAAGGGACCCAGCCCCCCAGGATTTCAGGAGCGGGTGTATCTCTCCATCTGGAGATGTCACTGGGGAAAGAACTTGGGACCCTCCACATGCAAAACAGATCATTGTTTAAAATTCCCATTGTTCTAGGCGCATTTTGCAACAGGGCATTTCATTAGGGTGAGCTGCTTCTGAGCTCTTGGTGCAGTACTGCGCCCAGTGCTTTTCTCCTAAAAGAATGTGTAGCGGTACTCTCATTCCATCTGAGACTCAGGAAACACCATGACAGGAAATGAGGCCACCATTGGGGGTAGCAACGGAACTGACGATTCACCGTGCTACAGAAAAAAACTAAAAAATTTAAAAACTTTAGTTTTTTCTCTCATTAGATTCACAAAATGTTTAGCGGTATGCATAGCCCTGTGTTCCCCCAGAAAAAAAGCAATGACTGTGCCTATGATTTCAAATTAAAACTGCAGAGTGGAAGGAAAGGAACATCTTTTTCTGCCTCTCCACTTCCAGCTACTCTCTGAAGACTGGAGAAGAGACCCTCTTAAGAATATTAGGGAGGGTGGGCAGGGGAAGGACTAGACCGTGTGAAAAATGAACATGATATTTTAGCTGCAGTTCATTAATTTTCAGCTTTGTAGTTTTGTTATAAAAAAGTGTGCCTAGATATTCCATTCAGACATCTGAAGGCAGCCCTGTTTAGGGAAGTTTTTAATGTTTGATTTGAAGTTTTATTCTCTTTTTAATGTTCTGTTGAAAGCTGCCCAGAGTGGCTGGGGAAACCCAGCCAGATGGGCGGGGTAGAAATGATAAATTATTGTTGTTGTTGTTGCTGTGCCCATAACATAGGTTTAAGGTGCCATTTAGTTCCTAGCTTTCATATCTCAGTTTCTAACACTGAAACAGATGCTTCACCACTGAGCTACAAATTTACTAATTTATAGTAAATCAATCAAAATATTAAAATGGCACGCCCAATGGCTGGTGGGGCATCTGAAAGGAAGAACTGAGCGGGGAAAAAGAGAGGGAGCCAAGTTGGGCAAGAGGAACATGCAACGCAGCTTGGTGGCAGCTCTGTCCTAATGCTTACCCTCAGCATCTGCTGCTGCTGCTGCTGCTGCTGCCGCAGGTACTGCTGCTGCTGGTCTGGCAGGAGCTGGCTGGGTCGGATCCCTGATGGGACGCCCTGAGCACTCATGTGGTTTAACCCGCTTATCATGGCGGCTTGCTGCATTGACTGATGAGGAAACCTGCAACCAGAAAAAGGGAAGGAGAACGTGGCAGTGTGCCTTGAAGCAACCAAAAGGAAAGGATGCCCCAGTTGGTTTGGAAAGAACTCCCTGCGGCTCTTGGTGGTTAGCGGAACGATAAGTTCTTCTCCGTGTTGTTCCATGCCAACAGAAATGTCTTCTGGAGGGCAGGCCAGATCCTCACTTCATCCACCTCCTTCTCCTGCTAGGCCAGGTGTGGGGAACCTCAGGCTCTCTGACATTGCTCATTGACTGCTCCCACCACCTCTGGCCACTTGGCCATGCTTGCTTTTGGGAGTTGCAGCTGCAGAACATCTGGAGAGCCAAAGGTTCCCCACATCTGCCCTAGCCCATTTTGGCAGGCAGGTGGAGCCTGACTTCATCACACACACGTCATTTTATTTGTACACCACCTTTCCATGGTTGAAACTAGGGCTGGGTGATATCTGGTTTTCAGCATCATGATATATCACCAGCTAAGCATTGTGATATACTGATAGATCACCAATGTCTAAAATAAGGATGGAGCTATGTAGAGGCATGGGCTGGCTTCACGGTTTTTCTTGCATCGTGATTTTTGCATAGCACACGCGTACACACACACACATATCATGATTTGCAATATAACGCCAGGTCAAAAATTATGAAACCGATATGATATGGACTTCAAACTGGTTTTGGAGGATATATTGATATATTGCCCAGCCCTAGTTGAAACCAAGCCCAAGGCGGCTCACGTAATTGTGAATGTAACAAAAATAGTCAGAAACAATAAATAAAACGCATAAAAAATGTGCTGTGACACCAGGTGGCAGCTTCAAAGGCGCTTGCTTTCAGCAAGGGTCAGCTGATCTCAGCAGGGCTCACTGTTGGCAAGCCCTGCTTGGAAAGGAATAGCCAGGAGCTCACATTAACCTCCCCACTGTTTGGCTGTTCTTCCCAAGTGTCCTTACCTACCATTGAACATGGCATCAGGTATAGCCGGAGGAAGAAACGGCCACATTTGCCAAGCTGGGACCCCGTGCCAGCTCTAATTAGACCAACAAGTTGGGGGTTCCCCACACATGCTTCATTGCCTTTAGTGAATGGTTCAAAATTCAGCCAAGCAGTCCCTCACCCACCACCCCTGCTTGCAGACCTGGTGCCTGGTCCCAGGAAGTACCTCTGGGCCGCGTTCAGGGCGTGTCCGTAGCCAGGTGCCTGCTGGTGGACATAGCCGCTGGGTCTCTGCATCGGCCTGACGGTGTCGACAAAGGCAGGGTTGGAGCCGGGGTGCGTGTTTGGATAGGTCTGGCTGGAGTAGGTGGGGGGCACCATGGCGCTCGACTGAGAGGGGTGAGGCTGGAGGCCAACGTGGGAGACGTAGGGAGTGTAGCCCTGCAAGGAACAAAGTTGCGCGCTTTGTTAAAATCAGAGGGGCTGGGCTCCTTCATGAGGAAGGACAGGACCTAAAGTAAACAAACAAACAAGATGGCTGACGGAAACAGGAGACAAGAAAGAGTTGCTTGCCAGTTATTATGATATAAAGTCCTCAACCCCCTTTAGAATCAGTTTACTTGAAAGGTCACCTTCACTCACAAATGCCCACTCAACTGTTTTGATCAGCAGAACTGTCAACTCTACAAGTGCCACATAATGTTCGTTCTGCACTTGTAAAAAAACTAGTCTTTTAGTGTGGGAGCTCTTACACTCTGGAACTCCTTGCCCATTGACACCACACAGGCCCCTTCGCTGTGTTCCTTTCTGTGCCTGCTAGAAATTTGTTGCTTAGGCAAACTTACCCAGACCTGTAAAGCTGACCTATATTTTAATCTGCAGCTTTAGCATGCAATGTAAACTTATAACAACAATTTTGGTTTTTTAGCAGACAATCTCAATGTACACTTTATACCCTTTGCAAAGCGCTTGGACGTTTTATTTACAGTTTAAGTGGTACACAGATTTTGTTGAATAACAACAGAGTGATATCTAAAAAGGTGTGGTGTTGTGTTTGAAATCTGCTGGATGAGGGGCTGTGGGATTTGCCCACTATGTCAGCAGAGCACTAGAGATGATGACCTCCTGACAGATACGCTGGCAGAGCATACCATCAGGAGAACTGTTCTGCCATCAAAGGCATGAGGGCAAAATAGGGGTGGGATGTGAGAGGCACAGAGGTGGGCATGGTGAACTTACTATTTCCATTTCCTATCCCCTTGCCTCGCCCAACCTGATCCCTCCTTTGTCTCCCTTTCCTTTCCATGGTAATAATAATAATAATAATAATAATAATAATAATAATAATAATAATAATAAATTATTTGTACCCCACCCATCTGGCTGGGCTTCCCCAGCCACTCTGGGCGGCTTCCAAAAAAATATATTAAAATACTCTAGTACATCAAACATTAAAAGCTTCCCTGAACAGGGCTGCCTTCAGATGTCTTCTAAAAGCCTGGTAGTTGTTGTTCTCTTTGACATCTGGTGGGAGGGCGTTCCACAGGGCAGGTGCCACCACCGAGAAGGCCCTCTGCCTGGTTCCCTGTAACTTGGCTTCTCGCAGGGAGGGAACCACCAGAAGGCCCTTGGCGCTGGACCTCAGTGTCCGGGCAGAACGTTGGGGGTGGAGACGCTCCTTCAGGTATACAGGTTCTGAAGTAATCCCATTCCTACTCCCCCTTTGATACAGATGCTCAAAGTGCATCAAGCAAAAGGTTCCAGGCGAGAGTGAGTCCCAGGTGGGAACTGTGGTGCAGACCCCACGCACAGGCCCAGCACCTGCCCAGCCCCATCTTACCTGTGACGGCTGCACAGATCCATAGGCCGGGGCAGGAGCCATCTGGCGCACGGGTGGTTGCCCCAACATTCCTTGGCTCTGCTGGAAAAGCAGCAGAGAGGTGTGGCTAGCAAAGGTGGCCCCAGGGAACCTCCCACAAGGCAGGGAAGGAAAAGCCCGTAGCCTGCTTTGGGTGGAGGCTGTGGGGTGCGGCAGGGTGCCAGAATTTGGGGGAAAGCGGGCCTGAGACTCTGTCGAAGGCCTCTGCCAGCTGCACTCAAACAACCAGGCTTGAATCAAGTTGTGTATTTGAGATAAAGGCAGCCTGAAGAAGTAGAGATGGCCACAAATTCTGCCAGCTTGGGAAGTAAGTTAAGAATAATTCATGGAGGTTAAGGTTATCGGTGGCCAACTACTAACCATTTCAGCTGTGTACTTCCACCAGCGGTAAACCTGCAAATGGCACTCCTTCCTGGATGCAAGGACCCACCCCACACCCAACCTGGACTGTAGGATCACCGAGGCACCAACACTTAAGCCCTGATGCTTTGGTCTAAATGGCAGAGCTAGCTGAAAGGAAGGGGAGAGTGAAAGGAGTGGAACACAGTGTTCTTGATCCCTCTCCCTGTCACTCTAGTTCATGGGCTGGGTGGCTGAGGGCAGGATCCTTACCAGCTTGGCTTGCAGCTGCTGCCGAAGGAGCTGCCCCTGAGGACCAGGCGGCTGCTGCTGTCTGTAGATGGACGACTTGTAGGAAGGGTCGATACCCATCATGCCCCCCATGCTCGTGGGCAAGACTCCAGTGTAGGGAGGGCGGCTTGGAACCCGTGTTCCCATTGGCATCCGCATCGGCCGGTAAGAGGTATCTAACCGTGGTCCACCTGAAGCGAGGGAGGAAGATGGGTAACGTTATGGACATGACCACCCCCCTCCTGGACCTGGGTTCTCACAAGGCATAGAGGAAGACGTTGATGAGGTTCAGGGTGCCACCCGCCAAGGGAGGATGCTTCCTTTTCGCCGTTAGAGCTAGAGCATGCAGCCTTAGCCCCCACCCCCAGATCTTGGAAGGAAAAGCCACACGGCCTTCTCCTCAACTCTGCAGATGAAGAATGCAATGATGACCAAGATGATCAAGGGTATGGAAACCAAGCCTTATGAGGAATGGTTGAGGTAGTTGGGAAGTTTTAGGCTGGGAAAGAAGAGACTGAGAGGTCATCTGCAAATACCGTATTTTTCGCCCTATAGGACGCACTTTCCCCCCTCCAAAAATGAAGGGGAAATGTGTGTGCGTCCTAGGGGGCAAATGCAGGCTTCAGGAAGCTTTCCGGAAGCCGTGGGAGAGCTGCGCGACTTTGCGCAGCTCTCCCACGGCTTGCGGAGAGCTGCCTGCACCCAGAAGCCTGGAGTGCGCTGAGCTCAGCGCCCCCCAGGCTTCGGGCTTCGCACGGCTCTCCACAAGCCGTGGGAGAGCTGCGCAAAGTCGCGCAGCTCTCACACGGCTTGCGGATAGCAGCCTGTTCTGGGGCTGGGGTCGGGGGAAGCTCGGGCTTCCCCCGTCCCAGCCCTGTGCCTGGGGGGGAAATAAATTTTTTCCCCCTTTATTCCCCCCCAAAAAACTAGGTGCACCCTATGGGCCAGTGTGCCCTATGGGGCGAAAAATGCGGTACTTAAATGACTGTCCCATGTGACAGAGGGAGCAAGCTTGTTTTCCTCTGTTCTGGAAGGTAAGACCAATGGCCCTTAGATGTTTTTAAGCAGAGGGTAAGATTGCCGGAAGAAATATCAACAACCTCAGATATGCAGATGACACAACCTTGATGGCTAAAAGTGAGGAGGAATTAAAGAACCTTTTAATGAGGGTGAAAGAGGAGAGCGCAAAGTATGGTCTGAAGCTCAATATCAAAAAAACGAAGATCATGGCCACTGGGCCCATCACCTCCTGGCAAACAGAAGGGGAAGAGATTTTACTTTTTGGGGCTCCATGATCACTGCAGATGGTGACAGCAGCCACGAAATTAAAAGACGCCTGCTTCTTGGGAGAAAAGCAATGACAAACCTAGACAGCATCTTAAAAAGCAGAGACATCACCTTGCCAACAAAAGTCCGTATAGTTAAAGCTATGGTTTTCCCAGTAGTGATGTATGGAAGTGAGAGCTGGACCATAAAGAAGGCTGATTGCTGAAGAATTGATGCTTTTGAATTATGGTGTTGGAGAAGACTCTTGAGAGTCCCATGGACTGCAAGAAGATCAAACCCATCCATTCTGAAGGAAATCAGCCCTGAGTGCTCACTGGAAAGACAGATCGTGAAGCTGAGGCTCCAATACTTTGGCCACCTCATGAGAAGAGAAGACTCCCTGGAAAAGACCCTGATGTTGGGAAAGATGGAGGGCAGAAGGAGAAGGGGACGACAGAGGACGAGATGGTGGGACAGTGTTCTCGAAGCTACCAGCACGAGTTTGACCAAACTGCGGGAGGCAGTGGAAGACAGGAGTGCCTGGCGTGCTCTGGTCCAGGGGGTCACGAAGAGTCGGACACGACTAAAGAACAACAACAGATGGCTATCTAGTTAGGGATGCTTTAGTTGGGATTCCTGCACTGTAGGAGGTTGGGCTAGATGATCCACGGCGTCCCTTCCAACTCTACAGTTCTAATGTGTACATCCCACAATTCCCAGAAGGTGGGGCTGACTGTGGAAGAAGCTTCACTTGCCCTTATAACCTGGCAGGTGTCTCCTACCTCTTGCTGTGACAGCATCTCTCTGTGCTGCCTATTTAAGAAAGGCCAGACAGGCCAGACTCACTGGGAGCTCTCCAAGGTGCTGATCTAGTTTACCTGAATCTGTAGGGCTCTCTGATTATTCTTGATGTGGCTGCACCTACTGAAACACTGTGGCAGGTGTAGCTTTCAGCCAAGGGCCACATTCCCTTCTGGGCAACTTTCCAAGGACCACATGGGATTGGTGGGTGGGGTCAGAGGCAAAAGTGGATGGAGCACAGTTAGGCCACTTCCCTCCCACTTTCCCTTTCTATCCTCCATCCTGGCAAGGAAGGTCCAAGTTCAAGGTGGTTGGAGCCCTCCCAGGGACTGCTGTGGATGATTCCTGCATTGCAGGGGGTGGACTAGAGGACCCCTGGCATTCCTTCCAACTCCACAGTTCTTCGATTCTAAGATTCTGTGACTCAGCTCAGGCAGGCAATAACACTTGTGGTGCAAATGTGCACCAGTAATGAATGCTGCTTGGGGAGATTTCAGAGGAGCTGATAAAGAGACATTTAGGGCTGCATTCAACTCCTGAGCTGGAGGTTCCTGGCCTCTGTTCTGCTGGATGTGTGAAGTACATGATGGTGACTATTCCAATTCGTTGCTAACTGCTGAGTGTCCCCTGAAGAAAAAATCCTGGACCCTAGCAAAGGTTTATCTCTCACACACAGCTTAGCTAGATGCCAAAATGCAGAGTCTCAGAATCTGGCACAGATTTTAATCTCATTATTCCACAAAACTTTGCTGCTAACCCTCAAAGTGTGTACTTGGAAGGCAGCAAGCAAACCACTTCCACCACTTCCCCAATTCTGCCCTGACCTTGTGGTTTGGATTGTCTGAAAACTTTTCTAAGCTCTGCAGGATTCGGAAGAATGCCTGCTTGGGAGGAGGGGTTGGAGCTCTGGGTTTGTAGGCAAGGACTTGGGTCCAATCTGCTGCTCAGCCACCATTAAACTTGCTGGTTGGCCCTTTGGGACAAGCCACCCAGTATTGGCTTCATGTGGGTGCTAAAGTGATCAACCCCCCCACAAAGACCCAAAGCCAACAGCAATGGAAGTACTGAAAATGCTAGTGAAATAATAAACAGAAATTAAAAGGGTTGTGAATAGCACAGCAGGCAGCAGGAGTGAAAAAACCAGACCAGCACTCTGGGGACTGGAAGCCACAAAACACACATTTATATGGGTGTGTCAGTGTATGCATGCCTGTCTGCACTTTACACATTGTGGGTGGTATTCAACAATGTTCAACTTTGAAACATACCCATTGAAATTAATGAATCAAAGTTAGACTTCAATTGTCTGCCCTGCGTAGCATTAAATGCCACCCAAGGAGCATGCACATTCCTGCAAGGCTACATCGCCCAAACTGAGTGTGAACCTATCAAGTATTCCCAAAGGCGCCAGTGTTTGGAACACAAAAGTCACAACTGCAGCATGCACAATATGGGTCCAGACTTAAAACCCAACAGTTCTATGTATCCTGGGCTCCCCATCAGGCTCTGTGCCACCAAAGAACAGGTCCAGAATATCTCCCCTTCCAAGGCAGGATCTGGAATGGGCTGGAGCACCCCACCCCACCCACAAGTCTTGGCTCACCTGCTGGCAGAGGCTGGTTCTGGGCATAGAGGCCCATTGGAGACTGCCCGTAGGCCAGCCGTGACATGGGGTTCCCCGTCTGATGGTGTAGGAGGTCGGTGGGCATGCCACTTCCATAGGAGACCCCTCGGCCTGTGCTCATCATGTAGTCCTGCAGGGGAAAAGGCTGTGAAAAAGCAACACACACAGCAGGGCAAGCCAAGATTGGCAACAACAGAGAAAAGAGCAAGAGAAAGTGTAGCACGCTGCTGGGGAACGCTTCTTTTCCCCACTGGGCAGCGGGGGGGTGGGGGGAACTCTGAGAATCTGGGAGCTTGCTTTCCTAAGATACCACCCCATCCAGTAACAGCAATGGCAGCAGTAGCAACAACAACAACGTTATTAGTAGCATTCGTAATTAGTAAGAATACTAATATTAGCAATTAATCGTAGTAGCAATAGCAGTAGCAGGAGTGGTACTAATGACCCACCCTTCACCAGTAGGTCCCAGGGTAGCCTACAAAAATTTATAATTATTATTAGCAGTAGCACTACCAATAGTTATCTGCCCTTCACCAGCAAGTCCCAGAACAACACACACAAATGTACTACTCAGCATTGAAACCTCTTTAAAAACATCACAGTTGCAGGAATAGGTTGGCTGCACATATCAGGTGCATATATACTGAATAAACTATATAACAACCTGGGTGGCCACTGTCAGAACAGGATGCTGTTGGGCCCCCTGTGGCCTGATCCAGCAGCCAAGCTCATATTCAGTTCTTAAATGGCTGGGAACTGCTTGGCACCCCAGGAACAACTGCTATGCCCTTTTACCTCGTTCTTGTTGGCGGGTGGGGGCCTCTTCTTCGTCTTGGTCTTCTTTTTGGGCTCAGTGGCAGAGTTGGTAGGATTCGCACTGGTCTTCTCCACCTTGGTCGGCTCAACAGCCTTCTTCTCCGGCTCTAGGGCGACTGGGGTGGGGGGCTCCTCCTCTTCGGGAGGCAGCGGCAGGGGCTCCAGGTAGTAGCTCCGGGGCTTCGGCTTTAAGTGTGTGTGGTACAGCAGCAGCCTCTGCTGCTCCTCGAAGCGGGACACCTTGCGGTCCACCCGCACCGTCCCGAACCAGCCCCAGGAGAGTGGGGCAGAGTGCTTCACGCCTTCAAAGAGGTCCCAGGGGGAGATTTTCTGCTTGGTGGACACCTGCAGGCCCTGGGGAGGGAGGGAAAGGAAGAAAATGGAACGCCAGCCAACAGCAGCAGGAACTCATCCTCCTTGGTCCAGGTTCACAGGGCCAGAGGAGAGATGCTACCTTCTCCTTGCTCTCACAAAGCATTGGAAAGTGACTCCTTTACCTGTGCATACAATCATCAGCACAGATACCTGGGACACCCTCTTGCAGCTGCTGTCCATTTCATCTTTTTTTAATATATATATAAAAAACTCATTCCTTATCAGTAACAGGATCCCCAGGTGGGGTACAAAATAAAACACATTAGACCAAACACAGTACAACAGTTTCAGAGAGGAATTTGGGGGGGGGGGGGAGAGAAACAACACAGAGGTTGCCCAAGAAAGAAATTATAATACCTGAATATGCAGGTTTGTATTGACTAGGCACCAAAATGAAAACAGCGCGCTGTGCTTGCAAGGGCAGGGCACTCCACCAATGAAGCTGTGGGTGGGGCAACGCACACACCCACACACCCCTTTCCCACACCACCCTACATACTGAGAAGATGCAACCACACCAGGGCTGGTGGTCAGGGAAGCTACTTGCCTCCTTCTTGAAAATGGAGTCAAAGCCAGCGATCTTGTTGCCTTTGGTGTCAATGAGGGAGCCCTGAGGCTCGCAGGTGATCACGTCCCGAGTCTGCTTGGGCAGGGGCAGCAGCTGCCGCACCTTCTCCAGGCTGTCAGACTGACGGTCGCCCAGCTCCTTCTGCAGAGAAAGGAAGCCACAGAGAGGGCTGTTGATAGGCCTGGCCTGCAGGTTCTCCTCCTGGAGCCACTTTGCACTTCGGTCATCCCTGCTACACGTCAAAATCATCACATCCCACTACACTATGGCTTGGGCCAAAATGCTACTTACTCTGTAAGATGGGACTGTCTGCCTGCCTTTCCAAGGAAAGTGGTGGGGTGCATGGCCCTGAAGCTGAAACTAAGCTGTGCAAAAATAAGCATGCAAGCTTGCTCTGCATCATGTCATTGGGAAAATTCCCTTGCTTTACATCATACAAACAAAGGATGAGGAACTTTTTCTCCCCTCCTTGAGAACATGCTAGTGGTGGGCAGGGTCAGAGGTGGAACAATGAGGTAAACATGAAAGTAAAGGACCCCTGGAAAGTTAAGTCCAGTCAAAGGCAACTATGGGGTTGTGGCGCTCATCTCGCTTTCAGGTCAAGGGAGCCGGTGTTTGTCTACAGGCAGTTTTCCAGGTCATGTGGCCAGTAGGACTAAACTGCTTCTGGTGCAACAGGACACCATGACGGAAATCAAAGCGCACGGAAATGCTGCTTGCCTTCCTGCCGCAGCAGTACCTATTTATCTACTTGCACTGGTGTGCTAGGTTGGCAGGAGCTGGGACAGAGCAACAGCTCACCTGTTCACCTTCTGATCAGCAAGCCAAAGAGGCTCAGTGGTTTAGACCACAGCGCCACCCAATGAGTGCAGTTTCTACATTTGTACACTCGGCCAGGTCCTAGGAATGACTATCCCTCTGTCTGCAAGAGGTATTATCATAGTTCAAGCACATCTTCCAGCCAGGCAAAAGCACCCAATAGGTGTGTGAAGCAGCCAGTAGGGGTTGTGGCAGGGTAGAGCCCCAAGAGCCGGAGGGAAGGGGCAGAGAATTCCAAGGTGGGCTCCTACTTACTCGGAGTTTCTTGACCAGGTTCATGTAGGCCCGCTTATTTTCCTCCATGCTGCCCTGTGAGATGCTGGACATATCTGCCGCTAGTGTACCATTGATAAGCACACTCAGCATGTCCAACACTGTGGTGAAGAGCTCGCTGCCGGGTTAGAGCAAGAGAAAGGGGAGAAGGTCACAGGAGGAAATGGAACTGCAGCCGCTGTTGTCCCAGTCCCAACGCGCATTTCTAAATGGCAGGGAACGCCGCTGTGGTCACCCATGCCAAAACAACCACCACCTTGGGTGCCCTCCTGACGTTAAGACCCAAGGGCAAGGATGCCTCCAAGGGCCGGGAGCCTGCATTCCTTAGGCGCATCCCTTCTTCCCAGGCCCTGCTGAGATGACGGGATGATTTGGCACACACTCAACTCCTCCACTGTCATCCAGTGGTATCAGGGATGAACTCAACAAGGTTCAGGCTGAGCCTGCTGCCTTTCCTGACTCAGCACAGTTGATGGAGGAAGTGTGTGTGCATGTGCACCAAAGCACTCACTTGTTAGACTGCATGTCAACAGTGCCACTGCTGATGATATCCAAGAGGAGCACAGCCCATTCTGTGGTCTGCTGGGTGCTGCGCTGCACCGTGTCAAACATGCCCCCCACCTAAGAACGAGAAGAAGAGGCTGCGTTGGCCCGAAGGAAGCACACTTGGAGGATGGCACAATGAGCACAACACCTATAGGGAACCCTGATGGAGAGGGAAGGAGAGGACAAGCACCAAGTGTCCCCACCACGCCGGCACAGTCAAGCCACATTAACTAGAACAGACCCTCCCTAGTTTGTGCAAGGCAGAGGAACAAAGGTGAGTCAAGGAGAAAAAGGCTGGGTCCAATCCTCAGGCTTATGGTCCTGCCAGCTGGAGACATTCCTTGTTCTTTTTTTCTGGCAGCACCTTGGAAGCCAGAGGAACTTGTGCCCCACCTCCCCTGGCACTTACCAGATTGAGCCTCAGCTTCAGCGCCTCGTGCATCAGCTGCTTCGCTTTGCAGTCATCCTGGTACTGATCTTCTCGCCAGTTGGTCACAATCTAGGTGGGCAGAGAGGAGACTTGCATCTGGCTAAAGGCCAAGCATGGAGTGTCCAGCCCCACAGCCCCACAAGCTCAGAGCAACGCCACCCTTAACATGCTCCTGTGACTCAATGCATGAAGAACAAAACAGGTGCGCAGGACTTCATATGAGGCAAGAAAATAGCTCCAGGGATGACCGAAGTACCCTCCCTCTTTTTCTCCCTTCCTCCCACAACCGCAGCCATTGAACATGCCCTGGGGATTTTGCAGGAAGGGCTTCTGGGGCAGTAAGTTCCAGGTTCAATCCCTGGCATCTCTAGGTAGAGCAGGCAATGTCTCTTGCTTGAAACCCTCAAGAGTCACTGCCAGTCAGTGTTGATTGACCAATGGTATAACTTGGTATAAGGCAGCTTCCTATGTCCCTGGAAACCTGGAGAAATGCCACCAGTCAGTGCGGACAACACTAAGTTAGACAGACCAATGGTGCATGTTCTCTGGAGCCCCTTAGCTTTAACACTCAAGCCACCACCTGTGCTCTTCCCAAGAATCATAGTGGGAGTTGTGGAAAGGGTCCCTTTGCACTTCTGATGTGGCCACAGCAAAGATCTTACCTGCTGAACCTGGCTGTACAAGGAAGTGAGGAGGCCTTCACGCTGCTCATCCTGGCCTTTCAGGCAGGTCAAGACCAGGGACAGAAAAGGCTGCTGGCTCAGCAGGGACATGCTGCAGGTGTACCATGGTGCGAAGAAAGAGAGAGAGAAGGGTTGAGTGATGGCTCCTAAGACAGCCTCCCCAAACCCAGCCTCCTTCTCCTTTGGGCCTCCTCACCTCTTCTGTTTCTGGCGGTCCCGTTCCTTGCGGGATGAGGAGCCCAAATGCTGCCCTTTCTCCAGCTCGTCTCCTGCAGCCTTCAACACGTAGCCTTGCACAGAAGTTGGGAGCTTGGCAATGAGAGGGGCCACCAGCCACACACCTGATCTCTCCAAGGAGCTGGGGAAGACAGGCAAGAAGAGTTGTGGTAAGCCTCTCCTTATTATTTCCTGCAAGCTTCCTCATTTCCTGCAAATTTCCTTTTTTCCTACAAATTCCTTGTTGTTGTTTTTTTGCAGGAATCCCTTCCCATCACTGCCCTGTTCTCCTGTGCCTTTTTGCAGACGCTCACCTGAGGATGGGCTTGGCTTTGGTGCTTGCTGGCACAAAGCTTGTGGAGCTGCAAAGGCTGACGATGCCGTTGCTGGCCGAGTTGGTCTCAGCTGACTGCTGGAACACTTCGATGGTGGCCTTGGCAATGTTCTCCAGGAGGGAGTTCATTTCCTGCTGCAGAGAGGTGAAGCGGAGCTTTTGAGCAGCTAACTTCCTCATTTGTTCCAAAGAGGTCCCCGTGCCAAAAAGTCTGTTGCCACTTGTTCACTCTCCAACCCCCTCCCCCAGGCACCCGCCCCTTCTGAGCACCCTTTGCAATCACATCTGATGCTGGGGAAGAGCCATAGCTCCGTGGGAGAGCACCTGCTTTGCATGCAGAAAGTCCCATGTTTGATTCCAAGCATCTTCAGACAGGGCTGGGACTCCCTGCCTGAAACCCTGGAGAGTTGCTGCCAGTCAATATAGATAATTACAGCACTAGAAGGACCAAGGGTCTGGATTCAGTATAAGGCAGCTTTCTGCGTTACTATGTTGCTGCACACAAACATGAGGAGAGTGGCCCTTGAATACCCGCATCGTTCCTATGCTATCCCCAAATGTGGCACTGAATGCTTACGTTGTTTGCTGTCTGCTTGATCATGAGCTGCAGCTCAAGCAACGACTGTCGCATTGTCCACTGGTCCAGGTTCTGGAAGAAAAATAGACAAGCTGCCCATCACCCACCTGCTTGCTGTGGCAGTAAAACTCACTTGCATCTCACCCCCTCCTCTACTTTGCCAGTGCAAGACTGAATTTTTTGGCACCCTTTGCTGTTACAGAATGAATGAATGATTATTTATACCCCGCCCATCTGGCTGGGTTTCCCCAGCCACTCTGGGCAGCTTCGAATCGAATATTAAGAACACAATATGGCATTAAACATTAAAAACTTCCCTAAACAGGGCTGCCTTCAGATGTCTTTTAAAATTAGGATAACTGCTTATTTCCTTGACATCTGATGGAAGGGCATTCCACAGGGCGGGTGCCACTACCGAGAAGGCCCTCTGCCTGGGTCCCTGTAACCTCACTTCTCACAGTGAGGAAACCACCAGAAGGCCCTTGGAGGTGGATCTCAGTGTCTGGGCTGATCAATGGGGGTGGAGACGCTCCTTCAGGTATACAGGACCAAGGCCGTGTAGGGCTTTCAAGGTCAGTACCTACACTTTGAATTGTGCTCGGAAACGTACTGGGAGTCAATGCAGGTCTCTCAGGACCGGAGTTATATGGTCCCAGCAGCTCCCCCCAGTCACCAGTCTAACTGCCGCATTCTGGATTAATTGCAGTTTCTGAGTCACCTTCAAAGGTAGCCCCATGTTTATTTATTTTTCCAGCTGTCCCATAGCCTTCTTTTACACACCCCAAAATGCATCTTCCTTACAAACCTATGAACAGGGCCATGTTTAAAGGAAGAGGGGCTGGGAGAAATTAATTCTGTACTGATGCAGGCTGATTGTTAAGTGACCAACCTCAATTATAGGAGCTAAGCAAAAGCGAATCTATCTAATTATTTTGCACCTTGCTTGCACTAGATTTTTAGGAAGAAGAAAAAAAGAAGTCTCATCTTCCAACCACAGAATATCCTCTTGCTAGCATCTCCCATGTATGCAATTAAACATTCTTGCATCCTAAGGGTCTAGAAAGATTTAACAAAAATTAAAGTGAGAGTCTGCTGAATTTAGCACTGAATTGTAAAGAGCAAGGCTCTCACTGGAGCTCACACTGCCACGACCTTCAATCACAATGCAGGCTTGCCCAGCAGCCCACTGGGAAGTCCATGTTTAGCAATGCCCCAAGGAAACTGTAGCTGCTTGCACCTGTAAGATGCGCTTGATCCTCTGCCGCTGGGGATTCTCGCCCTCCTCGTTGTCGAGCAGCCGATGCGGGTAACAGATCAGTTGCATCAGCCTTTGGGCCTGGGTGCTGCTCAGGACAGGATCCTGCAGGTCATTGCTGTCTTCACACAAGGATTTCAAGCACCGCTCACCCACCCACTCCTGCAGGTGGAAGAGAGCATACGGGGTGACAGTGCCCCACTCAGCCTGGGAGGCCTTGCCTCTGCGACCCGCCATCTGAAAAGGCTGGTGCCTCTTCACCACACCACTTTTGCTGGTCTGCACTGGCTGCTGCTCCATGCACACAGCCCTGGCATCCAGACACCCAAGCTTCTTGGAGGAGTTTGTATGCCAAGCATGTTACCAAAGTCACATGGCACAAGGCAAAGAGCAGCCTCTGGCCAGCTGGACTGCTGCAGAGTGAGCCAAGGCTCCCACACTGGGCCCTTTCTCTTGCACTGTAGAGGGAGACACTCCCTAGAAGAGGTGCTTACTAAAGTCTAAAACTGCAGGGCAGGGAAGAAGAAAGGACAGTCTAGGTCTGTGGGAGTTTGAAGTTCACAATACAGTGGTACCTCTGGTTACGAACTTAATTTGTTCTGGAGGTCCGTTCTTAAGCTGAAACCATTCTTATCCTGAGGCGCACTTTTGCTAATGGGGCCTCCCGCTGCATGCGTGCCTCTGGTGCACGATTTCTGTTCACATCCTGGGGCAAAGTTCGCAACCAAGAGCAGCTACTTCCTAGTTAGCGGAGCTCATAACCTGAAGCGTTCATAACCAGAAGCGTTCGTAATCAGAGGTACCACTGTAGCGTAATGAAAAGAACAGGACCTTGGATAGCTCCAAGGGCACCTGCTAAGGGAAGCTATTGTAAACATTGTCTCTGCAGGGGGCTGATGTCTAAGGGTCGGCTGACCAGACCTGGAGTGTCTCCCAAGAGCTGCTGACAGCTTGGTTAAAATCATCATCCTCATCATCTTTAGAGGGCCTTCACCTTATTTTGCAGCCTCTGGCTTCTGTGGAAATCCTCTGAATTTGAGGACAGTGGTAGGGCTCTGTCCATGAGGGCCACAAAGGAAGTGCCAGGGGCAATTCCTAACCCACTGGATGTAGACTGAACATTCCCTTGTCTGATTTCTCCGCCAAGGTCTCCAGATTGTGGGTCTCAATAAGAAGAGTCCCCTGGTCCATTCATATTCTGGAACTCAACCATGTCCCCAGAGTTTTCTAAGGCATGTCAACGAACCCATGGGGACCTCACACAACAAGCCAGAACTCTGGCTGAAACCTGTCCACCATCCATGTCTCTGTGGAACAGGAGGCAGGAGCAACAGAAGGGCAAACGAAACCCACTATGCTCACCTGCTGACAGATGCTCCTCAGGACGTACTTGGCATAAACGTCCAGGCTGGCTGTCTCTATGGAGACCATCCGGCTTGCAGGCTTCTTGTCATCTTCCACAAGATCATCCACCCCGGCCGGATGGGAAAAGCCAGAGCCCTTCAGTTCGGCGTCCCCTGCAACCAGGAGCAAGGTCACCCAGGGCAGAGACCCACATGTAACGGCCACATGTTGCTGTGCCTCTCAGATGAGGCAGGACTGTGCCCATCTCCTCACGTTCCTGGAGACAGGAACCTACATTCCCCAGGCACATACCCAGTACGAAGACAGCCTTCAACACAGCAAACACGGCTCCGTCCACAATGCGGTTCTGGGATGCAGCCAGCAGGTGTCGATCGCAGGAAGAGCGGATGCCCACTGACGGCTTGCCTGTAGCAAGGTGACAAGGGAAGGGGAAAGCTCTTGCCGTGAACCGACTATGAATACTCCAGACCAAGCTGGGAGACAAAAAGGCACCCAAAGGCAATGCAGTACCTGGTGAACACAGAGCAGCCAGGATGGTGTCATTGTACAGAACATTTAGCCATTGCTTATTGTTAAAGCCTTGGTGCTTGGGAAAGCTACAGTGATAAAAATTCTGGTCAAGAATGGAGCCTTCAGGACATTGTGAGAAGTGTTTGCTGGCCTCCTCCCTGGGACATTGGGCAGACCTTGGTTTCTTTGTGATCTTTTTGGAAACAGTTATGATAGCCCTGTAAATAAGCCTACAAAGTTACTCTCCTGCTTTTTAAAAAAATTTGTAAACTGTTTTTGGGTTTTTTCTTGACAATCAAGCAGTGAATGGAATGGAATGGAATGGAATGGTGGCCAGACCCAGTCACAGTGCTCAAGACACCTGCTGGCTCTCAACCTAAGAGGAGCCCCAAGAGGGGTTCCTATCATGCTTAGCCAGCATGACCAATGGCTAGAGATTATGGAAGCTGGAGTCTGATAACTCTTGGGACTGTCACAGGGTCTGCATCCCAGCAATAAATGGAAACTTTCCATTTAGCCATCCCAGCTAGTAGCTACTGTGTAGATATTTAGGGCCATTCAGTGCATTACTGTGGCCACAGGGAGTCACCATAAGGCACCAGAGGCCTGACTGGCTACCAGAGCAAAGGCTGGCTCAGTCAATGTGGGAAGGTGGTTTTGACCAGCCATGAGAAAGAAGGGCAGATGTCACCAGCTGGCCAAGTCAGGAGACACAGCAAACGAGGAAGCAAGGAAGATGTGGTAAAAGAGTGTCTGTTTAGGATCAGTTAATGGAAGAAGAACTTGCAGACACCACCCCACGGGGATGCTCTGCCCCATTGGCTGAAGAGACAACTGTCAGCAGCAACAGGTTGACCACGAAACTGCACAGCAGGAAAGAGGGTTCGGGGAGAGCAGCATCCTCCATCAGGGCAAGAAGAGACACGGAAGAGGAAACGCCCCAAAGGAGCGATCACTTACTGCTGTCCTGCTGGCAGGGGTTCAGCTGCGGGGTCTTGAAGAGGTGGAGCAAAATCCGGCAGGTCAGGCGGGCTCCGGGTTCCGAGTCCTGCTCGCTGCAAGCTGCAGAAAGGTAAAACCACCAGTGGCAATTGATCTGAGCTGACCCTCTACTTTTCAAGGAGGGTGGGCAGGCCTCCATTTGCAAGGCCCCTTACTAGGCAGCAGGGTTCCAGCCATTGCAAACAGGCACTCACCAGCATTGAGCAACGAAGGGATGGCAGCACAGCGGATCAGGTCCTCGAGGAGGAGGCACTGGCGAGCAATGAGGATGGCCACGAACGTGGCAAGGGAGTCATGGAAAGACAAATCACTCACCTAAGGGAAGGAGAAGGCCACAGCTGAGGCTTTTTTAATTAAAAAAAAGTCGCTTCTGTGGAACTGGAATCACTCAAGAGCAATCCACACACAAGACCTCGTCACGCCATAGCCTCAGGCTGGGGAGTATTTATCTTTCTCTTTCTTTCTTTCTCTTTCTTTCTTTCTCTTTCTTTCTTTTAAATAAAGTTTTATTAAGACTTTTCATAATATAATTAAGAAACAAACTGAGCTAAACAAAAAAGAAACAATAAAAAGAAGGAAAGAGATAAAAGAGAAAGGATTAAAAATTACAAAAAGTCCTCTCTCACCTTAACTTTTGTCCCATAAGCATCCTCCAAGCTCTCACCTGGGAGCATCCCTTTCTTCCCCCAGCCTCTGACCCTGGGATCTCACCTTCCCTGCCTCTCACACAGGGTCCTTTACCAACTGTCTGTCACTTTCACCTGCATGCAGTTCTTACCAAAATATAGTAGAAGAGAATGTTAAAGGGAATAGTAACAGAATAGAGAGAGAGAGAAAAGGTAAAGAAATGAAAAAAGAAATGTCTTGTGACAGAGATTAAAATTCCTCAGGGTAAAGCCCTTCAGGCAAATGCAGCACTCCACAGTATATATTTAGCTAGCAGCAGACATAGGAACACAGGAAGCTGCTTTGAACTGAGCCAGACCATTGGTCTATCTCGCTCAGTACTGTTTACACTGGCCAGCAGCTGCTCTCCAGGGTTTCAGGCAGATTCCCTACCAGGAGATGCCAGGACTGAGCCTGTGACCTTCTGCGTGTAAAACAGGTGCCTTTCCTCTTTCTAGCACCCTGTGTATTGCCTTGAGTTGCTCCTCAAGGACTTCACACCCTGACGCTTCTCCAGGTACCCTCAGCAGCCTCCACGCACACTCTATCCAGCACAACCTCCAATGTCTCCACCCTCATCACAGCCCAGGCCCCACCCTTACGTCCACATTGCAGAGGAGGTCATTGAAGCCACAAGTCCCATTGTTGGAGGAGCAGCACAAAGCCTTCAGCACACCCAGCCACTCGGCACTCAGTGACTTGCAGTAGCCCGTCAGTTCAGCGCACAGGATTGCGATGTCGTTGACCCTGCACAGGGAAAGGCATTGGTGGTGGTGGTGACGGCCCTTGGCCTGAATGGCTTCAAAAGAGGCGATTACGACATACTAAATGGAGAAGAAACCTAGCAGTGGTTATTTAATTGTGGCGGTCAAATGGAACCTCCACGTGCAGAGGCAGTATACCTCTTAAGAGACCTGCACTTGTTTAGGCAGAAATGTAGAATGGTTCTTTTGATCTCTGTGTTTTGATCCTAGTTTTAGCTTATAGTGACTTTTAATGATTTCTGAAGGTATTAAATAATTGTTGTCAACTGGTTTTTTATGGTGAATTTATTGGTTTTTTCTTTTTGTAAATCGCTTCGAGGCTTTTCCACTTACAATCAAGCAGTATGAAAAGCATCACAATTTTTATTTTTTTTAAAAAAATGCTATATGCTTCTAGGAGGGAGGCAAAAATGTAGGCAAGGCCTACTGGCTTCATACTTTTCTTCTGAAGTGCCTGTTGGCCCCTGTAGGAGACGGGCTGGTGGGCCGGACGGCTCTGCTCTAGTCTAGCCCATCCAGAGCCCTTACATGGTTAAAAAGTGTCACTAAGAGGAGAGGTAGCCCAGCCCAGAGGCCCAACCAGCCTAGTCCAGCTCTCACCGATCAGGGTCGTGGTGCCCCACACAAACGTGCATGAGGGCGTTGCACACAAAGCTGTAGCGGTTGGCCGGGTTGTCGGTGAGGCTCTTGCCCAGGTTGGTGTAGGTGAAGTTGTGGGCCGACGGATTCTCAATGGTGTCGATCATGAACAAGGGCTCCCACAGCATGTTCGAGTCGGATGGCTCCACGTTGCAGTAGATGGTGTTCTTCACCTTGGAGCAGAAGTCGCTGGTGGGGAGAAGGAAGGAAGGTGGATGAGGACCTTTTAGGTAGGAGAAACAAAACGCACTTCCCTGCGTCACCTCCCTAGACAGCCAGATGGCGCTCACCTGAACAGCTCTCCAAATTTACTCTTCAGGTGGCTGCAGGAAGTGTAGAGGTCATAGAGGTACGCTAGGATGCAGCGTTCTGCAGAAGATCCGTCGGAGCGGTTCATGCCGTGCTTCACCACCCCACACAACCTGAAAGGGCAGAAGAAAGCAGGGTGAAGGAGTGGTGAGAGGGTTGGATTAAGTCAGGGAGGGTTCCAATCCTCCACTTGGTCACCTTGGGGCAAGCCACAGTCTCTCAGCCCAGCCTTCTGTCATCAGCGCACCCCCTCCCCATCCCCAGTCTGGTGTATAGGCAGCTATTCCCAGGTCTGTGCTCTATGGAGCACTCGCAGCAACAGAGGGCCACACACCCTCCACCAGTTTATGTATCTCCCCCTGAAGGCCTGTGTGCACACAGCCGGAGACTACGCCTGTGTGGAAGCTGCTGCTGCTCTTCCCTCTTCAATCCCCTCTTGGTTCTGGGAGAAAAGGGTGCAAGAAAGGGCAGGGAAGCTGCCCTTCACTTGCCCAACCTGCCTCTTCCTCCTCTTTTTCTGACCAATCCTGTGCCCTGCCTCCCATCTCCGAAGCTTTCCCTGCCTCTGACTCTTGCCTACTGACTAGTACAGGTCCCCACAAACCACTGCCCCCTTCTCATGACTCCAGCCTCCTTTCCCCTCAGGCACACTCATCAGCATCCTGCCAGTCCCTGACACGATTGTTGTGAGGATTAAAAGTGGGAGGGAGGCGGAGAAACATGTATGCCACCTCGAGCTCCTTGGAAAAAATGGTGGGATATAAATGTAGCAACAAGTTTACAAATAAAGTGAGAGAAACTGTGATGGAAGGCAAGGCGGTGAGGGGAAACTCAACATGCAGGGGGCAAGCAGGGGGCAAGCCCCCGCCCACAGGGCATTTCCGGGCATTAAGGATGGAGAGCTGCACCAACCAGAAGCTCTGACGCAAGGCAAGGCCCCCGACACCCTTAGAGCAGCAGCTGAGAAGCACTGGATTCCTACCCTTCGAATACTTGCGCCATCTGGTCCTGATTCAGGATAAGGCAGGAATGATAGTGCCGCAACACGGCCACGATGCACAGGCACAGGCTGGTGGTGTAGCTGCCCACCAGGTTAGAGGACTTCAGCAGCAGCTCTGCCTCCACCACACTCAGCTCATTCAGCAGCTGGATTCAACACAAGAAAACGTAAAGATTAAAGGAGGCATGTGTGAGTGACACAGCAGACTAGCTCACAGACCTCCGCCCCCAGCCCCTTACAAAACCTGTTTCTGTTGACAGAAAGAGGTCAGGAGTTGAAGTTTTCCAAAAGAATAGTGAGGGGCTTGGAGATGTAGGTCTGTGGCCCCCTCACCCATGAACTCTCTAAGTAGCCAGTGGCCAATTCCCCACGGGGCTTTGTGCTCACACAGTCCTTCCTCTCTCCCACATGCTTAAATGAATTACTTTTCCCTTTGGGGCAAAGCCACAATTTGTTGTAACACCTGATCCAGGAAGCTGTGACTTGCACATAGCCTCCAAACAAGGATCACCAACCAGCTGCAAACAACAGCTTGGAATCTTGGGTCTGGAGAACACAATCAAACCAGAGTTTGCAGGCCAGGCATCACAGTGGCAAGTGATGGGCCTTTTAAAGTGAAAACGTATCCAAGTTTTGCTTTTTGTTTTGGTAAATGAAGCCGCAAGATTTCTCTCGAGGCAGCTCAGCTTCAAGGTTTGCTGGACTACAACTAGCTAGCAGAGCCAGTGGTCAGGGATGATGTGAACTAAAATCCAAAAACAGGTGGAGACTCAGGTTTGAGAAACAATGTACTAAAGTATCTCCAGTATCAGAGACAGCATGCTCCAGAATAAGTTGCTGGGGAGCACAAGTGAAAAGAGCACTATTGCACTCCTGTTCTGCTTGTGGCATTCTCAAGCGAACCTGGTTCACCACTGTACAATAACATGGTTCTGGGCCCTTGGCCTGACCCAGCAGGGCTCTTCTGGTATTCCGATAGAACAGAGGAGGGAGAAGCAGACTGGAGAAAGGCAAGAAGCAGACTTCTCTTTTATGAAATACAAAAGGCAGAACATGAGAGGAAAGAACAGAGAAGATGCTCTGATCCTGGTTGGTGGGTGGAGACAGCTCACTTGGACGCCTCTCTCCCTCTGGACTAACAACAGTAAGGTGCAAACGGTTTGTGTACAGTCATATCTCGGGTTAAATATGCTTCAGGTTGAGCATTTTCAAGTTACACTCTGCGGCGACCTGGAAGTAACGGAGCACGTTTCGCCGCTCGTGCATGCGCAGACCCTCAAAATGACATCACACGCATGCACGGAAGCGGCGGAACGCGACCTGAGCACACGCATGTTACGTTCTACTCAGGATGCGAACAGGGCTCTGGAACGGATCCTGTTCACATCCAGAGGTACCACTGTATTGCATGCACTTCCATTTGGTGTGTACAATTTTGTTCTGTCTGTTCATTCTCACTGCTATCCTTTCACTGCTATTGTATTTGGTAACATAAGAAGAGCTCTGCTGCATCACCTGACCATTGGAGATGATGGGAACTGTGAGTCCAACCATGTTTGAAAGACAATTGCTTTCTCCATCCCTGACTTAACCAAGCACAAGGTTTCTGGAAGGGGTGGGGTCAATGCGTACAGCAGCAGGACCCAACCAAGTGACACCCAGGTGCCTTGGACCACCATTCGCAACAGCCCAAGCCAGCTGTGCTGATGGGTGCAGGTGGAGTTGTAGTCCGAAACATCTAAAGGGTATCAGGCTGGAAAGGCTGCTATAAGGAAGATGGGAGGGAGAGAAATGAAGAGGGGACCGAAGCGGCTTCTATCATCAGCCCCCAGCTTCGAGATGCCCACCTGGATGGCGAAGTCGATGAGCCCACTGATGTTGAGCGAGTACTCCATCAGGTCGAAGATGAACTGGACGTGCTGCACCAGGGGCAGGTGGTAGGACATCCCTAAGGCAAAGCTGGTGATCTGCTCTAAGACGTTGCGCGATACCTGGAGTTGGGGAGCAGGGGGTCAACAGCCACCGATTACAAAGCCGATGCCTTGGTCCACATCGCCTGGGGTGGGTGGGTGTCAGCCCTGGGGGGGTCCAGGTGCAGCCCTCCAGGCCTCTCTCTCTGTCCCGGGCCATGCCCCCTCCCCAGGCCACACCCCTCACTGGCCCTGTTCTGTCCCCTCCTCTAGGGACTTTACCTGGGTGGAATGTGTCCTTGCACTGTGATGGGGTCTCTTGCTTGCCTGGATGAAGGATGGAGAGCGGGGTGTGTAGGTGTGTCTGGCCATGCCTACTTTGGCCACACCCACCACTGGCATCCCCCCCCCCAAAAAAAACTTGCACACAATGGAATATGGCCCATGGCCTGAAGAAGGATCTGCATGCCTGATGTAGCCCAATACTGTCTTCACTGACCGGCAGCAGCTTTCTTTCTTTCTTTCTTTTCTCAACATCTGCTGCGTGAAACTACAGACCAGAGATGCCAGGGATTGAACCTGGGACCTTCTATGTACATAGCACATGCTCTGCCCCTGAGACACATGTGCCTTTCAGTAGTCAGCTGAAAGGCACATGACCAAAGGAGATCCCTGTCCTCACGCACAAGGCACACACCTGAGAGGTGACAAGGTGCTGGTCAAAATGAGAAAGGTGTTGGAACTTAGCAAAGATGTCCTCGGCTGTCGGGAAGGCCTCTGGCTTGTTCCGTTTCCTTTTCTGCCCCTCCTCTCCCCCTATACAGAAGGAAGGAGGAAAAACAAAACAAAGCAAAACCAGATGGCTGCTGCTTAGTTTTTGCTTAGAAATGTAAGCTCCACGTTTTTCATTTGCATAAACACAAAGAGCAGCTTCAGGAAAACCATAAGTAATACAATGTCAGTAGAAAATCAATGTGAAAATGGCAATGAGTTTTGCAATTACTCGGTAAGTACAAAAAGCAGCAGTTTACAGTATGGTAGTTGGGAATTAGAAGCACTGTATATTATTGTCCCCCAAAGAACCTCAGCAAACAGAGTGGTTTTTAACCTGGTGCCCGAAAGGTATCTCAGAGAGGGCCCCTGAATATCCTGGAAGATAGCATTCCATAGGCTAGGTGCCTCAAAATAAAAAGCCTCCTCTCCAGGTGTGGCTCACCTAACCTTTGCAGGAGGCCTTCAGAGGATCAGATCATCAGTTCATTACCTAAGTAATTAGGCCCCAGATATTGGAAAGGCTGCTTCCTTCCCTGGAGACCCTCTCATATGTTAAGATCCTCTTGGTAGCTCTACCACCCTCAGAGGTTTAGGGCATGAAAGCAGCCCAGGAGAGTGTTCACTATCTGTGGCAGCACTTAAGCTATGGAATTCAGTCCCCACAGAGGCGCATGTAGCATCTTCACAGGACAGCTTCTGTCCCATGCTGAACACGCACCTCTTTATTCTGGCTTTCAACGCCTGAGGTGTGTGTTTCTAGGAGCCGCCCTATTCTTTTGACTGTAAATTGCTTTAACTGACTTTAATATCATGTTTTACACTGCTGTAATGTGGCCCTGGGACCTTATGGTGAAGAAACATAACGCAGGTAAGAAATGTAATAATGGTAACAATAAGATGATAGTGATATTGGAGATGACCATTCAGGTAACCTGGTCACAGGCCACTTGGGTCAAAAGCAGCACTCTGAAGTAGGCCAGGAAGCCAACACAATTATTTCAATACTGACCAAATGTGATCTCACCCACAAGCACTGCCATATTTTGAACACATTGTCCTTTCCAGTGTTCAAAAGAAGCCCCATGTAAAGTGCACGATCCCATAACACAGGGTTTCCCAACTTTGGGACTCCAACTGTTTTTGGACTACAATTTCCATCATCCCTGTCCACTGGTCTTGCTAGGTAGGGATGATGGGAGTTGTAGTCCAACAACAACGGCTGGAGACCCAAGTTTGGGAAACCCTGCTCTTTGGACACACAGGTGCCCCACAGACCTGTCTCTGCTGTGCTCTTCCTGTTTAACACCTTCAGGATATCTTTGGTTATCTTCTTGATGGCATGCCGTGCCTCATCACGCTGCTTCCCAACACCAAAAAGGACCACCAGCCGCTGGTTGCATTCGTGGCTGCTTGACTCCTCCTGAGAAGCAAGAGGTTGGAAGGGATGGGTGTCAGCTGCTGATGCCAGGCGGGGAGGTCTTCCAGCTACCAGTGTTAAGAGGCCCTTGCCTACCTCACAAACCCAATGAAGAGGGTGTGGGGGACCTCAAGGACATTTCCCCTAAACCATGCTCACCTACCCCACACCTGATGTCAGGTGCAGTGGGCAGGTACTGGAGTGGCTGCAAAGGGACAACTAGGCAGGAGCAAGGTGCACCTCCACCAGCATTGAAACTGCTGCCAAAATAGAGGGAGAAAACCTCAGCTCTGATGGTCATTTCAATGCAAACAGCTTGGTGCTGCAGCAACAGCAAAGCCCCTTGCAAGGCAGTTCCCAAGCGCCTGACCACCAACTGGCTTCCAGCGCCTGGGAAGTGCTGCACATTGGACTTCAACAGGCGAGTTGCCCAGAGAAAGGTCTGGCCTGCTGAACCAAAAACAGTAGTCTTTAGTGCAGGGTTGGTGAACCAAGGCAGAGAACATAAAGCATTCCATAACGTAGCAGGCAGTGGGAAATGCTTTTAATAAATATGCAAGAGTTGCTCATAGGAAGGTGCCATGTTGTAAATCAGAACTTTTGTCCACCCAGCCATGATGGGCCTACTTTGTCCCTCAACAGTTTGCAAGAGTCTCAGAAAATGAGATCTTTCCTCCTATCTAAAGCCTTTGGCTGAAAATGCCAGCAGTCAGACCTGGGAAGTTCTGCATGCAAAGCACACACTCTGCCACTGAGCTGTGCTCCCTCTCCTAAATCTACATGCATAAAGTAGCTGGCAGAGAAAAGTTTATATGGCACATTGGCCATCTTTGCCACACTGCACCATGCACTAGATCAAGGGTGGGAAAGTTGTGGCCCAGTGGATGATGCTGGACTTCGTACTCCGATCATCCCTTGCCAGTGGCCATGCTGGCTGCTGGGGCTGCTGGGAGTTGGAGTCTAGCAACATCTGGAGGGCCATAGCCCCCACCCCGCTCCAGATCACAGTCTAAGAAGCTGCCTCCAACTTTCTACTTTGCAAGTTGTTTCCAAGTCACTCTGAGTTCATGTTTCTGAAAAAGGCAGCTAATAAATATTAATCATAATAAGATGGGTTGCTTTGTTTTGTGTCAGTAGCCAAGCCCTGCTAGTTACCATACTACCTTTTTTAAAAGGGGGGAAAGCCACATTAATGTTTTTATAAATCAGGCGGGGGGCGGGGAGAGGAAGAATGCACAAATTCATGTTCTAACTCAGGGCTTTCACATTTCCTAGAGCCCTCCCACCTCCTTCCGAAAGGTGGGAAAGCACTAACTAGCACACTGTCAGAGCCCTCAAACCTCCTTCCCAAAGTGCCATGCTTACTCAGCTTTGGGAAGGCTGCGCAAGCACGGGGGGGGGGGGGCATGTCAAATGTTGAGGGCTGACAAAAGAGGCCTTGAAGGCTGCATGTTGGACCGCCCTGTTCTAACCCAGAAAGGTAGCAAAACCCAAATGATGCAGGTCATGGGCAGAGAAGTTTGCAGAGAAGTTTGACAAGCACACAGAAGCAACTTCCGCAAATGACATCTCCCTCGTGTTCTTGAGGATGTAATGAGGGGAAAGTGACAGCATCTCAACTACACGGAAGGCAGTGGTGAGGAGGGAATTAAGTGGTGTCAGGTGGAATATGCAGCTTGTCAAACCCCAGATGGATTTCTGCAGTGCTAAAAGTTGGAGAGGGACTGCTGCAGGCAGAAGCCATCTCAGACACCATACTAAGGGGCCTGTTCCCATCTAGCAATATTAATTTATGCACAACAGGTGTCTTCCGCCAACAGAAACACAAGACCCAAATTATACACAACCTGTTGTTCTTGTTTACATAGGAAAAACACACACAACAAAGAATCTATTTGGAGAGCCTTAAGGGGAAAAGTGCCAAACAAGATTTCCTTCACTGTAAATACAATGGTGCACATGACATCAAAACACAACAAGACCTACAAATTCTTGGCAGGATTATCTAAAACAACCATTAAAGGACATTATGAATATGATTTTAAATATGGGTGAGCTGCCAAAATCATGGAAGAATGCTTATATAATTTTGATTCCTAAACAAAGCATTTGATAATATCTCCTGCAATTTTATGTTTAAAGTTTTAGAATATATGGGTTGTGGAGACACCTATATAAAAGGAGTTAAGGTAATATATACTGACCAGTCAGCTAAGCTGATGGTATATAGCATTCTGACTGAGAAGTGTAAAATAACTAAAGGAACAATACAAGGCTGTCTGTTGTCACCTTTATTGTTTATAATAGTTTTAGAAGTTTTGGCGCAAAGAATAAGATGTAATCAAGATTAAAGACATAAGACTGGAACAGAGACAATATAAATTAAAAGCATGTGGAGATGACGTGGTGATATCTGTAGAAGAACCAATAGAGTCAATCCCCAAAGTATTATAAGAGATTTTTAAAAATTGACGAAGTAGCAGATTAATAAAGGTAAGACCAAACTCTTGCTTAAAAATATAAAGAAGGAGAGTAAGAACAAATTACAAGATGTATCCAGTTTAAAGATTGAAAGAAAGGTTAAATATTTAGGTGTATGGGTAACAGCAAATAATATAAATTTATATAGAGACAATTATTTAAAAACCTGGTAAGATATTAAAAGAAATTTGCAAATTTGGAACAGAATGAATCTTTCATTATTAGGTAGACTGTGTTAAGATAAATGTGTTGCCCAGAATGTTATTTCTGTTTCAATTGATTCCGGTGATTGACAGGACAGACTGTTTCAATGTATGGCAAAAAGATATCTCCAAATATATTTGGCAAGGGAAAAAACCGAGAATAAAATATAAAATAATGATACATGCAAAAGAAAGAGGAGATTCTTCCCTGCCGGATATGAAATTTAATTATGAGGCATCCTGTCTTTGTTGGTTGAAGGAATGGATGTTAGAAAATTCACATATTTTAGACTTAGTAGGTCATGATAATATTTTTGGCTGGCACGCTTCTTTATGGTACAAAAGGTGAAAGTTCATAAAGAATTTACAAATCATATAATTAGGAAATTATGTATAGAGTATGGGATAAATACAATAATTTATTAGAGGTAATAAATTAATTTTAATAATTAAATAAAAAAATAAATAAAATGGCTCTCACCGCTGGGAGCTATAGTGGTAAAGAAAAAGAATATGATAGAAGGGTGGGCAACTTATAGAAAACTATTAAAACAAGAGGGAGGAGAATATAAATTAAAAGAATTTAAGGAATTATCAGGGAAATTAACAACATGGTTACAATATCATCATTTGAATGAAGTATTTAAGAAAGATAAGATATGAGGGTTTGGGGAACAAATATCACAACTGGAGTGAGGCCTGTTGGAATATAATGTATAAGGTGTCTAAAATGTATAAAATATTAGTGGAATGGGAGACAAAGAATGTGCAAGTAAAATCCGCAATGATACATTGGGCAATAGATATTGGTCATAATATAGACATGGAAGCATGAGAACGATTGTGGAATATGAATACAGTGGTACTTTGGGTTAAGAACGCAATTCGTTCTCCCACAGGTATGAAATGTACGGCATGCAATGCCTTAAGAGAAAATTTAATGAAAATGATTTATAGGTGGTACATGACACCAGTTAAGCTTCACAAAATCTACAATTTGCCCGATAATAAATGTTGGAAATGTAATGAGACTGAAGGTACATTCTTTCACCTTTGGTGGACATGCCCAAGGATTAAGGCTTTCTGGGAGATGATTTATAATGAAATGAAGAAGGTATTTAAATAGACCTTCCTGAAGAAACCAGAGGCCTTTCTCCTGGGCATGGTCGGCCAATTGGTGTTAAAGAAGGATAGAACTTTTTTTATGTATGCAACAACAGCAGCAAGAATACTCATCGCGAAATATTGGAAGACACAAGATTTACCCACCAGGGAAGAATGGCAGATGAAGTTGATGGACTACATGGAATTGGCGGAAATGACTGGCAGAATCCGAGACCAGGGAGAAGAGTCGGTGGAAGAAGACTGGAAAAAGTTTAAAGACTATTTACAGAAATACTGTAAAATTAATGAATGTTAGAAAAATGTTGGAATGAAGTTATATGGCTTTAGTAGAAATGTTATAAGGAATTAAGTATAAATAGATTATTAGAGCATTAAAGGGAAAAATAAGGTTAGAGTGTGTTAAGACAATTATAGGATAGAAAATAGAGGAAGATGGAAAGGAATTGCTGAAACAATCAATAGAAGTGGAATACAAAAAGGAAGGTGTGAGGAGGTCGTGGAAATTAGTGAAAGAAGGATAAAATATTGAAATTGGACTGTGTTTTAAATGGTTTTTGTTTTGTTTTGTTAGTTGTATGTTAATGTTTTGCAGTTTTCTTCTTCTTTTTTATTATTATTGTATTGTATTATTGTATGTTTTTTCTTTTTTGGTTTTTTGTAGTGTTGTGTTCAATTTGTTGGAAAATTAATAAATATTATTATTAAATAATAATAAAAAGAACGTAATTCGTTCTGGAGGTCCGTTCTTAACCTGAAACTGTTCTTAACCCGAGGTATCACATTAGCTAATGGGGTCTCCCACTGCCACACGATTTCTGTTCTCATCCTGAAGCAAAGTTCTTAACCCGAGGTACTATTTCTAGGTTAGCGGAGTCTGTAACCTTAAGCGTCTGTAACCTGACGCATATGTAACCCACCACCTGCCTACTGCAGCATAACTTATCATCAAAAATAAAAAGTAAAATAATGGAAATATAACACAGGCAGACTCAGTTTGCAACGTAAGCCGTTTAAAAGCAATTTGACAAATAAATTTTCTGAAACCAGGGTTTTTTTCTAAAAGGGAGGGTTAGTCTTATTTTTTTTTTAGGTGCCAGACAAAAACTTTCCTCTATAACCAGGTCTTCGGCCTAGAACTATTAGCAGCCTTGTAGAAGTAGGTGGAATGTTTTTAATGTAGGTTGTGTTTTTTTTACCCCATGGTTTTAATGTATCTAGTGAGCTTTAATTGTCTGTCTAGTTGGTTGGTTGGACGTTGCTCTGGGTTGTCCTGGGCAAGATAAAGCAACTAACAAATTTAATTAATTTAATTAATTAATTGGCCTGGTTGTGTTGAATATTAATTGGCCTGGTTGTGTTTGATTTATGAAAGGTTTTGATTGCAAATTGACATGATGGTATGCAAAAATGAATGTGCTTTGTAGGAAAATTTCATATGGATACCAAAGAAGAGGCAAGCTTTCCAGCCTAGCTACAACTTAATTGGAGTTCAGCAGAAATAGCTAACTTCTAGTTCCTTGGGAGTGTGTGTAGTGGAAACTGACCTTCACTTGTATTCCACATGGTACGCATTTATCTGCAATGTGTTGTTATTCACTGCAGCGTGTGCTGTGGGTTTCTCACAACTGATAACATAATACAATCATTTTATTTAGAGGAGATTAGATCTTATGCATCTGATTTCTACTCCTGTTCTCTCCATCCAGAGCAAGCCTTGAGCTGCTTCCTCTCCTACCTGTGGAATAGGGAAGTGCATGGAGTACTGGATATGCCGAGGCTGGTCATAGAGGGACGCCAGCATTCCATCTGCAACTCTGTCCTTCAGGAGAGGCTTGATGTCCTTCTCAAGATCCAGTTTCTCCGGAGAAGGGCTGGCTTTAGACTCGCAGTGCATGGGAGGGGAAAACATCTGGTGGGGGGAGAAGAGAGATGCACACGCAGAAGGCAAGGTGAGGTCACTGAACTAGTTGGAAAGGGGGAGGAAAAAGGCTACCTTCAAAAAAGCAGTCTCGGAAGGACACCAAAGCAAGGTTGCTAAAGTCACGTGGCGAACACACCAAACAGGCCTGTCACTCACTGCATGCCTTTCATTGAGCACCAGGCAGTGCAGGGGGAGGCGGGAGCCTGGGGTAATCAGCTGGCTACCAAGGATTCCAACGACTTGCTTCTGTCTCTCCCACTAAACCCACGTTTACGCTGTCAGGGCCACCTGACTCCCTGCAAGCAACCCCACTTTGGCTGCCACGAAAAGGTGACTTTGGCTGTGCCAAGCTCTGCCCTCATCCCTGGCTGCCTCTTTGAATACTGAAATAAAACAGGCATTCAGGGAGCAGAATGCTTATGGGCTGTGCCCTCTCTGCAGCATACCAGGCAGAGGAAACCAAAGGCATGCACTACTCCTCCCCAAGCACTGGGGTGGGGGGCACATACCAAAAACCCCCATTATTTTCTGAAGTCAGAAGTATAGGACTTAGAAAGGGGCCTGGCCAGGGCCACCCTGGCAGGTCATACCGAGAAATCTGTCTTCTCCATATCATCAAAAATCACGCTGGAGTTGTGGTCAATGTCCATCTGGCACTCTGACAGGCCCGTGTCCTGGGAGAGACAGGAAACAAGGCGCAGCCGTTCAGATCCTAAAAGCCCCACAAGCAAGCCCCAAAGTCCCCCAACAGCAACTGCCCCTTTTTCTCCTGCACTATCTCCTTCTCTTCAATGGCCCACACCTCCAGCTTCATGCTGCTGCTCCCTTCCACCTCCTTCCTGTCGTGCTCGTCGGCTGTGTCATCAAAGGGCGAGGGAGGGCGAGGCCCATGCTCAATGGCCAGGTCCCCGCGGGAGATCAGTGTGCACATGTACATGTTGTGGGAGAAGACGTCATGCCTGATCAGCTCACAGAACAGCAGGACCAGGTTGAAGAACTCCACCCTCTCGTTCTCGTTGCTGGGGTCGGCTGCCGGGGAAAGGGAGAAGAGCAGGTGAGGAAGCAGCAGCGTAGCCACATTTCCCCAAAGGAAGGCTAAGCAAAGGAGGGTAATGCTTTCCCAACTGCCGCCTCGGGGCCTGCCAGGAGTTGAAGGCCAGAGCCCAGACACCAGAGCCCATACTTAGCACGGGAGCCTGGGTGTCCAGGAACTGCATGAGGACGTCCTGAAAGACGGGCGTAACGACTGGCGAGAGGGAACCTGAGGAGATGGAGCCTTTCTCGTCCACCACTTCTGAGTCTCCGCACCTCTGGGCAGAAAGGGATATGGTTAGTCCCCAGCCCCTCAACCGTCAAAACAAAGACCATCCCACTTCTGCAGTTTGCTGCCTTTGGATGAAGCAAAAGCCTGCCCCAGTAACCGAGGGCTTCACAGCATAGGAACCAGAGTATCTTAACAACATGTGTCTCCTGTATGGGCCTCTCAGCTCTCTAAAGATGTCTGCTGACACCCTGTTCTACATTGCCCGGCCTTCAGAGTTTAGACAGGTGGGCGAGTGGCTGCTTTTTGCACTGCACTCTACACTCTCCCCACTTGTGATTTCCAACAACTGGTATTCAGAGGTACAGTGCCTCCAGTTTTTTGCGACTACGTTCTCTTCCACCAAGTTATGTTGTGTTGTTATGTGTTATGTTATGTTACGTTACGTTACGTTTTTGCTTGTTTTAAATAGAATTCTATTACCATTTTTATTTTGGGAATTTTCTAAACAGCTTTTTTTTTGTTTTTTTAACAGAAGAGTTGGTTATAATTTTGAAGCAAACAAAGCTACTGCCATGGTCATCCACACAAGAATGACACCAATATCCTGGAGGTGATAGCAGAAGCTGTTACTAGCATTTTGTCCAAGGACATCTAGTGAGCTTCAGAGTTACCCCTCAACTCAAACTCTGCATCAAACCTTAATAACCAGGTCTAGGTGGAAGAGTGGGATTTTAAGAGTACTTACCCCAGCTTTTCCCAACCAATGCCTTCCAGGACTACAATTCCCATCAGTCCCAGGGGCTGATGGAGAGTTGTAGCCCAAACATCTGGAGGACACCAGGTTGTGGGAGACTGCTTTCCCCAAATCACTAGATTCCTTGCAAATTTTTCTTTTCTTCCACCCCTACAAGTTCTCCCTACAGCAAGGATGATGAATCTGTGGCTGATGCTGTTGGACTGCTGTTAGCCCCAGCCAGAACAGCTAATCAATTATGCATCATGGACATTGTAGTCCAACAACTGCTGCCCGGCTCTGCAGTTGAAAGTGCTCCCACACTCACCTCCGCTTCAATCTCAGAGTTTCGCTTCTCCAGCAGCTTGGCCACAACCATTGCCCTGTGACGCCCGGATCGCTTGTGGCTGACAGCCCACTCACACAGAAGGGCCACCACTGCATCATCATCTGGGGAGATCTGCCAGGAAACAGGTTGAGTAGAGCAGCAGTTCTCAAGCTCCCCTCTGCCCCTGACCAGTTGAAAACTGCTGATGGTCCTAGCGGATCACTTAATGATGTTTTTTTCTGCCTGTTGTAGCAATTGTAATGCACTGTACTAGATGCTGTGTGATTTCTAACTGCATTTTTATCACTTCTTTTATTTCTTATGTAACAGATTCCACAAACTGCGAACAGTAATGCACGGAAACACAATGTCAGAAACAAAAGAAGCTTCTGTTTATTGCTGCTTCTTCTTTTTATTGTGTTTTGGTGCATTATAGTTAAATATCAATATGAATATTTAACGCAGACATGCCCCAGACCACCTGAATTAAGCTTGTAGACCACCCACAATTTTGGAACCCCTGGTGCAGGGTATCTAAATGTGCCAGGGGCTGGTGACAGGCTCCATTTCTGCAGACTGACCATGAAGGGGTTCTGAGGTCCCATAGTTTCAAACAATCCCTACCCACAGACCCTGTGCTCTCCTCCCACATTGCTCAGAGAGAAAATGCTCTAGCAGAGGCCCAGAGATCAGGCCAGGTCAGGATATAAATTCAGGTCTGCAACACCAGCTGTTGCTTTCCTTCAGTCACAGTGTTAAACAAAGCAAACATTAATGCCAGAAGAGGCCTGCTAGAGTGATCCAAGGTGAGAGGATTATGACTGCTCCTCCCCACCCCCACCCCGAAAAGCAAAACTGCAATTGGCTTACGTTAGAAACCATGATAAACAACCTAAAGTTACACACACATACACACAAACAGTTCAAACTCAGTGCCACTCCACTAAAGATAAGCAGAACATTAAGGACCAAATGCCTGGGGAAAACAAGAATGTTTTCATATGGTGCCTCAGAACAGAGTGTGATGATCACTAGCTGCTCCTAACAGACTCCTCCATAAAAGCCTTCAGTCCCTTGCGAAAGCTTCTAGAACAGTTTCATTACTCCAGTTTCTAGACTGACGGTGGTGACTTGCTGAGAAGCAACCTTCCCTTGGCCAATGGCTGGACTTTCCCTCCGTTCTTGACCCTGGACTGTACTCTGGCTTTGCTCTCTGGAACATCCTGGAAACTGACTCTGAACCCCTGGCACAACCCTATCTCCTGAAGCAGGTGGCACACACTGCTCCTAAACCCCAGAGGTTATTGACAGCAGCCACTGACCAACCCCCTCCTACTTCTCCGCCTCTACAAATTTGCCTGATCCTCTTTTAAAGTCATCTAAGCCAGCTGCTGTCACCACATCTTATGGCAGTGAGTTCCAGAGATGCAGAATACATTGTCTGGAGAACTATTTTATTTTGTCTGTCCTGAATCTCCCAATATTCAGCATCACAAGGTGGTTCCGAGTTCTGGTATTATGGAAAAACAGAGGGAGGGGGCAGGAACGGACTTACTTCTACCCACATTCTCTGCACAGTGCATGGCTTTTGTCCTATGTGCTTTGACATTGTGAAGATGAAACAAGAGGTGGTGAACGCTATGGATTGAACTGGAATCGATGCAACAGACCACAGTCTCCACATGAAACCTGCTTCCAACATTCTCTGGCTGCATATACTATAGAACTATAGAACTCAACACAAATCTGGAGTGGAGTCCTTAAGACAGTTGGAAGGCACTTTGTACACCTCCTTCCGGCAACTCCAGAGCCCAGCTGGTACCAAAGTTTTGCTCTGCTTTCTTTTGGACCACGTCAGTGAGGCCGAGAGGGGGTGTCTTGTCATCTGGTCACCCAGGGCCTTCATTCATGCTGCCCTGGCTTAAGCACTGGGGAGGTCACTTGGGTGCTGCCAACACTGTGGTTTGACTTCACCCCCAGCACACTCCACTGACTCCCAAGATAGAAAGATGCCAACAACAACTATATGCACCCCTCAAAAAAAGGGGGGAATCATGCAAACTGTACTTTACCCCTTACAGAGCTACAATTTTCAGCACCCTTAAAACAACAGTTCCAAGGATTCTTTGAGGGGGTGCCTTACGCAGCCTCAGCCACACAGACCAAGGGCCAGGGCTCAGTGGCACAGCACCTGCTATGCATGCAGAATGTCCCAGGTTCAATCTCTGGCATCTCCAGGTAGGGCTAGGAATGTCCCCTTCCTGAAACCCTGGAGAGGCACTGCCTATCAATGTGGATGTTATAGTGAGCTAGCTGGAACAATGGCATAAGGAATGCTCTTATTCATATCAGACCTTTATCCAGAACCATGAGGACTGGAACCTTACTTTATTTTTAAGGGAAGGACCAAAGCTCAGTGCAGGACTCAGAGAACTGCTGGCAGCCAGTGTGGATGATGCTGAACTAGAGGGGTAAAGAGGATTTGACTCTGCAAAGGGCAGCTTCCTATGGTGAAAGAAACTGCAGCTGCTTTGTGCAATAGTCCTCACCTCGTGGCTGTCTTTGCTCGGTCCTCCCCCGAATATCCTGTTGTACAAGGAATCCAAAGAGTTGCTGAAGTCTGATCTCTCGAAGCTGTGGCTATCTAGCACTTCCAAGGTGTGCAGCACACGGCTTATTGTGAATCCTGGAATGGAAGAGGAAAGCAGAAGAGATACAGAGGCCGTCCTGCAGCAGGCGGCAGACTCTCCTTCTTTGGGAGATTTTCAAGCAGAGGTTGGGTGTGGCCATCTGTCATGCTCTAGCTGAGATCCCCTGCACTGCAGGGGGTTTCATGACCCTCGGGGGGGGGTCCCTTTTAACTCTACAATTCTAGAACTCCCCAAGTAGAAGAAAAACAGCCAGGCTGCCTGGAGAGTGAAAGGAAAGGCTCATTAACAACCGGCAGAACAGATAAGAGCACACGCGCAAACACATCAGGGCGTGGGGGTGGGGACATGAAGAGCAAACCACTCTTCACGTGGGCAAAGTGTGGCACGCGTTGCAGCATGGCCTACCTGCAGTGGCTTCTTGGCATTTGTCAAAGGACCAGCGCACCTCCACTGCCTGGCCCCGCTCCTTGATCTGCTGCTCGATCTCCCGGAGTCTCGCTCGGACCTGACAAGGAAGGCACGTTGGAGAGGATGTGGTGCAACCCCCAGAAGCACGAGAGGGGCTGCCACCATTTAGCCCCAAACACCCGAGAGGGGACCAAGCAGGGTGAGCCAGGGGTGACAGGGAAAGCCTGGTATGTCTCTCCTGCAGCTGGGCAAGCCGTGGGAATCGAGACCGACCGAGATGAGGGGCTCCAGGCCCTTGTGCTCACCTGCTGCTCATTCCGGTCCCTGCTGCTCACCTGCTGCATGAAGCCAGCGCTGACCCCAGGCATGGGCAGGTTGGAGGGGGAGATGGGCAGGTGGTCAAGTGGGGAGCCAGTCTTTATTCGGCTGTCGGTTAGGGAGTAATGCCAGACGAGGGCACTGGGGCAACACAGGACAATGCTCTGAAGAAATACAGTAGAAAGAGGGACTGAGTTCCCTGGAAGGTCGGCAGGCTCCTCTTCCCTGTCCTCCCTCTATTCCATGCTTGCTATAAACATCCTGAAGACTTTGTACCATTTCCCCTTTTGCTCAGTATTAAAAACTCTCCACAAAGCATCTGGTCCCCAGATCCAAGTACATGTTAACTAAAATCATTGCATGTTATTTCTGTTTGCCCTTGCCTTGACCTCTCTCCTCATCTCCTCATTGATCCATGTGACAATCATCTCCAGGCTTGACTACTGTAATTTGCTCTACGCGGGGCTGCAGAATGCTGCAGCGAGGCTCCTCACGATGTCTCTGCCATGGGAGCATATTCACCCAGTGCTTTTCCAGCTGCATTGGCTCCCGGTGGAGTACAGGGTCAGATTTAAGGTGCTGCTTTTGACCTTTAAAGCCCTTCACGGCCTAGGACCCTCGTACCTACGGGACCGCCTCAAGGTCCATAAATAGCAACACCCTAGTGGTCCCAGGCCCTAAGGAAGTTAGATTGGCTTCAACCAGAGCCAGGGCCTTTTCAACTCTGGCTCCGGCCTGGTGGAACGCTCTGCCTCATGAGATCAGGGCCCTGCAGGATCTGATTTCTTTCCGCAGGGCCTGTAAGACAGAGTTGTTCCGCCTGGCCTTTGGCTTAGAGCCAATTTGATTCCCTCCCTCTCTTTCTTTTTTCCTTTCCTTCTCCTCCTGCGATGAGGCTATATTTTAATGTTCCATTATTTTAAAGTTGTATTTTATTTTTGTTTTTAAGTTGTAATCATTCAACTTGTTTTTATTATTGCTTGTAAGCCGCTCTGAGCCTGGCCTTGGCTGGGGAGGGCGAGGTATAAATAAAAAATATTATTATTATTATTATTATTATTATTATTATTATTATTATTATTATTATCTCCTCTGCTCCTAACAACTCTCATCACCCTTCGTAAACTACATTTCCCAGGATTCTTTGGGTGGGAGGAAGCCATTACCTGTTTCAAGTGGTATGGCACTGATTTATACATATATAACACAGATGGAATTATATATTGTAAGCCTCCCAGAGTAAGGACTTGTCCTTGATGAAGCACCACGCACACAAATCGGATGAGAATAAATTTGCTTTAAATGTGCCCAGCTTGGTTGCCCCCACTTTGCCTAGTACTGCATTCCATCCCACTCAGGGTGACACAGCCTGGCACTCCTTGTTCCTTATTTGCCATCCTGTTAAGGTCAGGAGCCTCCGACCAAGATGGTCAAATGCTGCCTTCCAAGCCTGCATATCTGGCCATGAGAATTCTCCTAAGATCGTTCCACTGATTCACACCCTCCTCCAGTGTCCTTGCCTGGCTAGAATGCATCTTTGGGCTCTGGTCATGCCTCCTGCTTGCCTGAATGTAGGATGGAGAGAGGTGTGCAAGTATGTGCAGAAACTAAGCTACTGTACAAAGGTAAAGTTTCCATTTATTTCTCCACCCACTTATGCTCTGGCCCCGCTCCTCTGGAAGGTTGCCCAGAAGGGAACGGGTCCCTTCGGCTGAAAAGGGTTCCCTTGCAATGTGCTAAAATGATCACACCAGTAAAAGGGCAAATATCTGTAGGATTTCCCAAAAGTTCCTTCTATGAACAATCCTATTCCACCAGTTGCCTAAACCCTCCTGGACAGTAGATGTGCCCACTTCCGCACCCCCACCCCCTTAAACCACCCCATCACTCCATTGACCAGGCATCTGCCTCTACCCTGACTTGCCTGGAGGATGCAGCTTAGCCCATAAACCACAGGGCGGTGCTGTGGGCAATGCAGCAGGTCACCGAATGGACTGGGAGGGGGGTTCCCCGCAGCCGGCTGAGGGGTGGGTGTGGATGGAAGAGCAGGGGTGCTCTGTGCCGTGAGGTGGTGGGCAGGATGCCCACCAATGCTGTCCAGCAGTATGGCAAGGCGGCGGGTGCAGAAGTAGGCGAGACGCCTGGACAAGTAGGCTGACTGCACGAACTCACCGGAATACTGTTGTGGAGAAAGGAAGGAAGGAAAACTTGTTCATTGCCAGGATGGAGGACCTGCCCCTCTCCATGCAAAGCAGCTCTGGACAAGAAGAGCAACTTCAACCCTGGCCAGACTTTGAAGCCGAGGAGAAGGACCAAGGGGGAGAAGGAGCTTCCACCAGGTCACCACACTGCCAGATACCCTGAAGAAGCAATGGCCCCAGGACCAAGCGTCCCCACACCAGCTGCCTGCATCCCTGGGCAGTTCTCTGACTCCCACCCGCTACTCATTATCTTTGCCAGGGACTACTGGAGTGATTGGGCATGCAGGAGTTTCAGAGTCACTGCCAAAGGGCCTGGCTGGCTACTCAGGAGCAGGGGGAAGTGCATGGAAGCCACATGCCCGGATCAGGGCCCGGTTAGAGCCTCCAGCTCCTACATAAGCTCCAAGTCGTAGCTGCTTCACTGATGAAGAAACAACCATCCTCCAGGCTCCAGTCTTCCTGACCTGGTATCAGTCAGAGCAAAAATCTTCCTTCACAACAAACATGCCATGGGCAGCCATACCAGCAGCCATTCTATCAAGGGAGAGGAAGAGATGGACTCATTCCCAAGGCACAATTGAGAGACCAGCTAGCATTTGACGCCTCTCCCCCATCAGCTGTTTCCATTCAAGCTGGTTATTATAACAAATTTGTGGTTTTAAGAACTGGGGCCCAATACTATTTCCTTCCACTCTTCTCTCCTTGTCCCTTTTTCCTTTCATGCCATGTTTTCCAGACTCTTAAGTCTGCAGGCAGGGAGTGTCCTGCTTGTCGTGGTTGTTGCAGAGGAAGGGGGTAAGCTGACCTGCAACAGAAGGGGAAGAAGCAGCTTCAGGAGTTCATCTTCGCCTGGTCGAATCTTCTCAAAACACTCAAGAACCCAGGTCAGGAACTCGTGTCTATCCAGCATCCCATCCTGGAAGCAAAAGATTAGATCTGAGCAGACCTTTCCCTAGATGGGAGCCAGAGCGTGTGAACCTCTGACAAGAGAAAAGGACAAGTATAGTCAAAAGGAGCAGCCACACCCTTTCCCTCACCTGGAACATGAACATAGCTAACTTCTCATTGTAGTCCCACTGCTTCACAGAGTACTCCACTTCCTGGGGCATGAGGCTAGAGGGAGATGCACAGGCCTGTGCCAGCAGCTGCCGATGGAAGTCCGAAATCTTCTGCAGCTGCTCCCACAGGAACTTGGTGATGATCTGCGTCCACTCTGGAAGGAAAGAAAAGCTGCTGGAGAGGTAGAAGGGGCTGGGGCTGGGCCTCAAGGGCTGCAAAGAAAAGCGCACTGACGAGGGGGAAATAAGAAGGGAGTCGTGGGAAGCCAGGGCAAGCTGTGGACTCAAGAGGCTGAGCTGCAGCATCAGAAGCACAAGCTGGTCCTGCCCCAGGAACAGGAGAAATAAATGAGCAGACAAGTACCAAAGGTCAAGGACAAGGGTGGGAGCCTGTGGCACTCCAGATGTTGTTGGACCATCAACCCCGTCTAGAAAGGCCAGCCATCAAGATGAGGGGAGCTATGGTCCAACTACATGTGGAAGCCACAGGTCCCCCACCTCTGGTCTCAAAGCAAGGGTGGGGAGCCTTTTTCAGCCTGAGGACCACAACCTTCCCAGAGTCACATGCCAGTGGTGGGCGAGGCCAAGAGGCATAGGGGACGGAGCAACTAATGTCAACTTTGCCAATGTCCAGTAGGCTTGTTTCTACACACCCACTCCCATCTCTCTCTCTCTCTCTCTCTCTCTCTCTCTCTCCTCCATTCAGGCAAGAAAGAAGCAGTAACTTTCTCCATCCAGGCAAAGATGCTAGGTCTGCAAAGCAGGCTCAGTGAGGGCTGTGGCCTGGGGAAGGTTTCAGGGGCCAGATAAAGAGGCCTCGGTGCCAGGAGCAGGTCAGCAATAACTCACACAAGTTCAGTGAACTCTTTATTCAAAGAAACAGGGTAGCTCAGGAGGCCACGCCTAGTGGGCACAACAACCCTTCCTGGTAGAATTTGAACCTATGAGGCAGTTGTGAGGACTGAAGGTCCCTGCCTTCCTACAGTTCCCTAAGTCTCCTCCTCCCCTGGTTCTTTCTCAAGCAATCTGAGACTCTGTTGTCTTGTCTGTCCTTACTCCACCCTCTTCATACCTCCTCTGGTTCTGGGAAACAAGGGGCAGGGAAGAGCTGGATGCAGCAGGAGTGGGAGACACCTGTGACTCTTCACCAGCCTGACTCATCTCTGCCTCTTGGCTCCAATCCACTCCAGTTTCCTCTTCTGCCTCTGATTCTGGACTTATCTCTGCCACAGCCTCTTCCTGCTCACTAAACCCTGTTATCTCTTATGCTTCCAACAGCTCTTATCCCTCTGACCACTCATCATTGTACCACCACCATTCTCCTTGCTCTGAGCCTTCTTGTCTGAGGGGTTCCCTAGCTGATGCCTCCCACCGCTCCTCTGCATCCATCCCATCCATAATACCCAGGAACCACATTTGGCCCATGCATGGTCTTGAAGAATAATGACGCGCAACAGCTGGAAGAAGAAGAAATCTCCAAGAAACCCAAGCCTGTCTAGTCCCACACTGCTGTATGGGTCTAGATGGCATTTGCAATGGGAAGAAGCAGTCCTTACCACTGAATGGATCGATGACATGCCGTTTCTTCACTTTAGTTTCTGTGATGGCTGCATAATAGGCACAGGTCATTTTGATCAGCCAGGCTGCCCTCATCACAGGCACGGTGTACTTTGCTAGGTAACCAAAGACCTCCTCTTTCTTACTGAAGATGGGCACCTGACAGAGGGAGGGTGGAGGGTGAGAGCTGTAATTGGAGAGGGGCTGTCCAGCAACAACAACTGCTGGAGCTGAAGGCAGCTTGCTGGTGGATGCAAAACAAACAGTGCTCCTGTTCTGCCCCAGCTTTGAAAGAAGTTAAAAGTGCTTAAAGTCATGGCTTCCCCCAAAGAATACTAGGAAATGTAGCTTGTTAAGGAGGCTGAGAGTCGTGAGGAGACTCCTATCCCCTTCACAGAACTACAGCTCCCAGATATGCCTGGGAAGAGATTGATTGTTGAACCACTGTGAGAACTGTAGATCTAATAGCGGGGGATAGGGATCTCCTCATCTGCAGTACCCTTAACAAACTACATTCCCCATGATTCTTTGGGGGAAGCCATGACTGTTTAAACTGATACTGCTTTCCATGTATTGTGTAGATGAGGTCTTTGCTTATAAGGAGAAGAAGGCCATATTTGGAAAGTCAACATATGACCTGGTGCCACAGCTTCTGCCACAGCCATGGAAATCCCTCCCCAAAAGTTCACCAGCCCTTTCTCTACCAAATTCCATGCCTATCAACTCTTCTGAATCACTCTTGCATCTCCAAACTGTCCCAAATAGTTCCTCTTTATCCTCTTCCCATTCAGCCCCTGAACTCAAGTCTGCTCTTCTTTTCTTTTCTAGCCACTGTTCTCAGAGACATCTCTCCTCCCGCCCCAGAAAGGGTCTATCCTAGAATCACAGCAAGGAGGAGCCCATTTAGCTTCTGGGTCACAGTTCAGCCATCCCTACACTACAACTCCCCCCTCCCCTTCTTCCTAGCAGCCTAAGCTAAAAGAAAAAAGGGGAGGGGGAAGTACCTTTTTAGCCAGGTGAGTGAGGGGCTTGGTCCCAGCCAGATCGTTGAACCAGTTGTTAATAGCACTCTGGGAGCGGGCTGTCACCAGCCAAAAGTTATCCTTCTGGTTCACCTGGGGTTTTCGGCGGCCTGTGTCAGGCAGAGTGTTGCAGCGCAGCTTCTCAGCAATGATGCTGCTAAAGTTTGAACTGATCTGGAAAATGGAAAAGAACGAGGTGGTGGAGCTCCCAAAGAGACCCTGCTGCCCGCACTCTGCAAAGACTCACTAGCCACAGCACATTCGGTGTTAATCGTCAGCCACATACTGTCTTCATCTCAGCTATGAAAGTTTCGTGCAGAGGATCCAAGACACACTCTCTCTTTCTCTCTCTCTCTCTCACACACACATGAACACACAAGGGAAAGATAGCAGAACCATGCTCCCAGACCAAAGGCAGTTTCCACCTGTATTGAGAAACTGGTAGGTTACAGGATGCAGACCAAGGTGAGTTTGCAGGGTGTCAAAGCTTGAACGTCACACCTTGTGACCCAGCACAAAGCTTTCATGCCCACGCTCACAACAGCTCTCCCGTTTCCGCTGCAAATGACCCACCCCTCTGCAATCAGAACACTGGATCCAAAATCAGGAGAAGCAGGGGATAGCAAGTACACATGTCATCTGACAGGAACACCCAGTAAATAATAATAATTTAGTAACGTTAAACTGATTTCTGTTTTTCAATGTTTTCAATTTTCTTTAGTGTAAATCGCCTTGAGACAGTTCTTCAGAAGGCAAATTAACAAATTGGGGTGATGATTATATCCCTAGAGCTCCAGGTAGCTGGTGGATAGCACTGAAGCAAAAGAGTACAATGATCGTAGCTCCAAAAAGCCAGTAGAACACCGAAGCTGAAACACTGATGCTGTTCCACAGAACCCAGCCACAATCACTTAGGAGGCCGCAGCAGGTGCACCTTCAGAACGGTCAAGCCTCTCACCTTGGAAGGATTGAAGTTGACATTTTTGGCAGTGCCATGCTCATCCCCAGAGACAGCCGGCTGGTTGTTGAAACCCTGCTTCACATTGAGAGCTGTCAGCTCATCCTGCAGAAGAAAGGGGGGGGAGCATCTAAGACCAGGTGCTTTGGCAGAATCAATAAGGAACAGTTCTTGTAATCACATATGCAGTGGTGGTCAGTGCCCATTGGGACTGGTAGGGCAGAAGGCATGGAGACCAACAGCAGGCAGAGCCAGAGCCAAGGCCAGGCATAGCCAGAATCAAATGCAGGCAGACTGTAAGTAAGTTGACTGGTTGTGAGAGAGGCAGAAAGATGGGGATTGGCTTGAGGTAAGCTGAGGGCCAGTCTCCACTGCTCTGCTTAAGAAATTATATTAGCAATTATTTTTGTCTGATCCAGCAATGCAGTCCTTGTGATTGCATTTGAAAACATTAGGAACTACAGTTCCAGCAGGATGGTCATGATGTCATTTATTTGGGAAGCGGAATTCTGTTTTTCAAAAGCAATGTCTTTCTAAGAAGTCTCACAAAAATAAGATTGTAAAACCAGTATCATTAATATCAAATCAATAAAATCCAGAATAAACTTTCTTTTTAAAAAATCAGAACCTAAAAGAGCATATCTAAATCACTGCAGCAACCAGCATAATGTCACAAAATCCCAGCACACTAAATAAATTTGAAACAAGAGTTAAGAATAAATGAGCTATCAAATTCTCCTAGTCAAAGGCTGATTGAAGCAAAAATGTCTGTACAGCCTGCCTAGAAAGCAGACATGGAAAGGGCCCAAACATATATCTCTAGGCAGGAAGGTCCATATATTCTGTGTTACAAATCATACTCCCGACAACATGGCATCTATCCAATGAAACTTCACGATACTGAAAGTGTAATAGGTCTATATGAGGCTATTAGCTATGAACATAAAAGCTCTGCTGGCTCAGGCTACTTGCTTATCTAATCATTAGAATGTAGGGAGGTTCTTTCTATACCACATCAAACCATGGGTCCATGCAGCTGAGGACGCTTATCTACACCAGTGTTTCTTAAACATTCTCCCAGCACGGAACACTTGAAAATTGTTGACGGCCTTGGCTGCCCACCTAAAGCTTTTTCGGTCTGCTGTAGCAAGCACAATGAACTGTGCTAGTAGCTGCCCACTTCTTAGCTGTATTCTTTATCACTTCTTTTATTTCTTATATTGTATTACAACCTGCATCCCACAAAATTCAAATTGCAAACATAACAAAATGGAATGAAAGAAATAAAAGAAGCAATAAAGAATACAATTAAATATCAATGTTTAATGAGGACATGCCAAGGGGTACCTGAATGAAGCTTGTGGGACACAGTGGCCCTGGTCTACACTGACGGGCAGCTTCAGAAGAACTCCTGGGTTTCAGAAGCAGGAATCTCTCCCAGCCCTTCCTGTAAATTGAACCTGGGGCTGTCTAAGCAAATGCTCTATCACAGCCCCCTGCCATCCTCCTCTCAAAGCACCCACAACCAAATGTTCATGGAAAGCCTTAAAGCTGGACCCGGCTGTAGCACTGCCCTAAACCCACTTGTGACCCCCAGCAACTGGTTCCCGGAGGCATGCCGCCCTCCAACAGGTGCTACTTTCTAAGAATGGGGAGCTTCCATGTCCGAGCCTCTATGGGGGGGGGGAGAGAGCTAAAGGAAGAGAGAGGCGGCACAAAGCACCCTCCTTGTGAGCTGCCAGGGGAGGGGGGGGCCGGCGAGCAGCTGGGGGGAAAGCAGCGCACCTGCCTGGCATGCAGTCACAGGTTGCCGCTGGGCCAGAAGCTGTGTCCCACCAACACCCCAGCGCTACACACACCAAGCACAGCACACTTTCCCTCTGTCTGCTGCTGAGCTCACTCGGCACCCGGCGTGAGACTCATACTCCCAGGGCCATGGTCTCGAGCCCCACACAGGGCGGAAAAAACATCCCTGCCTTGGAGGCGACTGGGCGAGATGGCCCTGGTCCGGACCCCTTCCAGCCCTACGATTATGCGACCGGGGCGCGGGGAGGGAAACGCCGGCTTCCTTATAAATCTGGCATGGGGCGGGGGGCAGGCAATGCGAACACAAGGGCCCTTACTCGGCAGGGGGCGGTTTGGATCTCAGGTTGGGGGGGGTGTCCAGGTTGGTGGGTGTGGGGCGAGAGGGAGCCCCCTCCCCAACTGGCCCACAGAGGACATCCTCCCTCCCACAGGGGTTGTGCTGCTGACCCACCGCCGCCCCCCCCCCGCCGCCGCCCCCCTCTCCCCACCTCCTTCTGCTTGGGGTCCTGCGGGTACACGTCGGGAGGCCCCAGACGCGGCCGCTTGAGGGGCCGGTGCTCGTAGCTGAGGATCCCGAAAGCCGCCATGGCGAGGGCCGCGGGGGGGCAGCCGGAGCAGCGGGCGGTGGGGGGCAGCGAAGCCCAGCCGGGCCCGCCGAGGGGGGCAGACGCTGGCCCCCGCGACAACAAGGGGCCGGCGGAACTAGCCGAGCAGGTCTCGACAGCTGCCGGAAAAGCCCGAGCCCAGCAGGGCTGCCGAGGCGCGGGGATTGTGGGGCTGGTCGGACGAAGTCTTCCGAGGGAAGGAGGCGGAAAGCGACGAGCGGGGCCGGAACGAGGGAGGGCCGGAACCAAAAGGCGGGGGCTGCGGTTGCCAGTGGGGGAGGGGAGAGCACGCCGGCTGCGCAGGCGCAGAAACTTTCCGAGCAAAAGAGGCCGAAAGCGACGGGGCGGGGCCGGAACGAAGGAGTGCCGGAACCATTGGGCAGTGGCTGAGGTTGCTTGCGGGATGGCGGCGGGGAGGGATGGGGGAAGAGAAGGGAAGCGGAACATCGCGCGGCCTCGCGCGGGGACGGTGACGTCAGCGGCTGGAATGAGCCGGGGGGCGGGGATTGAGCGCAACGTTCTTTTTTCCCCTCTCGCCCTCTCCGGAGGCTACGGAAATCGCCGAGCGAGGACGGAGAATGCCGAGGGAGCGGAGAGATGCTAAGGAGGCGTTTGCCCCCTGCTGGCTGACTTTGGTCGTTGCAGCAAAACATGATGGGTCGCGGAAGAGGAGGACCAAATCATTTTAAGTCATTAAAAAAAAAAGTTCATGAATGTAAATTCTGATCAATACAGCATTCTTTAAAAAAAATAAATCACCGAAAATGTTAAATAAAATATAAAAAATAAATCATAGAATGCGTATTCTTTTCTACAACAAGACAGGCGTTATTATACTGAAATAAAAAATTTAAGGTCTTTTATATATAAATGTTCATAAATGTACCAACCAAGCATGTACACATAGATATGTGGACCACGTGTCTGGAGCAGCACAGGAGGACCGCCCTGAAACCATTTTGACTCCCAAACTGACCAAATGTTTTCTCTGCAAGGAGGGAGGGGGCGAGGGAACCTTCCCATTGTCTCAGGAATTGGGAAATCACCATCTCAAAGGAATGGCCAGACTTCCAGGAAAGGCAATCAGATAAGGCATTATCAAATAACCTGGCAGACAGGAAAAACAACAACATTCAAATTTCTGTTGTAGACCGCCTTTTCTGTGATGTAGGTATGATGTTTGTGGGGGGTGGTCTTGGGTTACACCCCTTCTGTGATGTATCTATGATGTATGGAGGGGTGGTCTTGAACTCCAGGGCAGGGAATTTAAAATGTCTATATAAAGGCGGGCACACCTTTGTTCTGGGTCCTCCACAGCTCTCCTGTGTGTGAAGGGAGCACCCTGTTGCAACAGTTCAATAAAGATCAGGCTTATGAGCTGCTTTGCTTCTCAATATTCTCTGGTTGGCCTCTGTTATTTTGTCCTGCCGATGGAGAACCTACAAAGGACTCTATAAGGGCTCTTGTGTCCCCCATAAGGGAATAAGGGCAGATTTTGTTATTACAATACCAAGTCTGCACATATACCATGAGGGCAGTGGAAGTAAATTGTATTTTATTCCTGTGATCATGATGGCAATTAAGTCAGCTTGTTTTTGTTTCCAACTTACCAGGAACATGGAGGCAGTTGTAAAGCAGGGAATGGCCATGAGCAGGAGCAGGAGACTGAAAATGGGAATGCTAATGCTATAAAATTTGAGGGTGCACTCACACAGCAGACGCACTTCACAGAAATCCAATCCTTCACCCTTCAAAATTTAGGAAATATTCCCTGAGAAAAGTTACATTTTATTTTAGCACACAGAACAACCCCCCCCTAAAAAAATACAAAACCCCGGCCTATTGGCTCTCCTAATCACAGGAGGAAATATATTGGAGAAGCCTTTCACTATAGTTCTTTCACTTCCAAATCCTGTCTTATGGGCATTTTTTTTTTTTTTTTTTTTTGGTATGACTAGGGTGGGCCTGTGACCTGGATTCAAGAAATAAGATATTTACCATCTGAAAGGCATGGCCAGGTAATTCAATCAGCAAGCATTATCTGGACCATGGGTCAGCAAACTAAGGTCTGCAGGCCGGATCAGGCCCAATTGCCTTCTGGACCGCGGATGGTCCAGGAATCTCTGCATGGATTGCCAGCGCACACAAATTTCCCTCTCCATACCGCGGCGGCGCTTTTCTCCTCAGGGACGGAGCAATCTTGTCCCACGCCAGGCGCCTTTGACAGTGGGAGTCAACTCACCTGCCTGCCCACCTCAGCAGGGTGGCGCTGTGAAGGGGGCGTGTGATGCCAGCTGCCGCTGCGTTTTCCTCCTGTTCCTCCTCCCTCTCCCTCAGTCCTTCCTTCCTTCCTTCCTTCCTTCCTTCCTTCCTTCTCTATGCCCTTTTTCTGCGCCCCTTCCTTGCATGCTTTCTTCATTGCCACCTGCCTCCCTCCCTCCTTCATTCCTCTCATGGCATTCAGGTGGCTCATTGCAGTGATCGTGGCAGCCGCTTGCGGGTTGGCAGGCAGCTCTGACTTCTTCTCTGCGGTGCCTCTTGGAAGCATCAGCAGGTGGTGGGTAAAAGCTCCGGCGATGCCCCGGTTCCCCTGCCTCCGTCCGCGACTCCTCCGCCAGGGCTGCTGCTTCTGTCTTCTCTGGCTAACGCAGCCTCCTACCCCACCACTGCGCCTGGCTGGCTGGAGAAGCCCAACTGCAGCTACTGGGATGACAACTGGGACAGGTAAAGCGAAGCATCTTCAGTCCTCTTTGCAGGCAGGTGAAAATCGTTCATTCCTCCCCCCCCCAAATATAGTCCAGCCCCCCACAAGATCTGAGGGACAGTGGACTGGCCCCCTGCTGAAAAAGTTTGCTGACCTGGACAAACAGGAGACAAGCCACACTCAAATTTCTGTTGTAGACCTCTTCTTCCTGTGACACGTGTATTTTGGGTGGTCTTTTTGGGTGGTCTTCGGTTAAGGGGTTGGGCAATTTTAAAAGTCTTTAAAGGTTCTTGTATACCTTGATCTGGGTCAGGGGTAGACAACCTAAGGCCCATGGGCCACAAGCGAGTCCCCGTATGCTGTGCTAAACTGGTGAAGTGTGGCATGGGGACTCACTTCCGCGGCGCCAGAAACAGCATCTGTGCAACGCAGATGCCAGAAATCACGGGCGCACATGCTTGCACAATCTGGCCCATGGAGGGATCTCCGCTGGAGTGAACCAGCCCAGAAGTAAACCTTGCCGACCCCAGATCTGGGTCCTTGAGTGGGGGCGGGGGGGGGACGCTGTTGCCACAACAAAAATAAAGATCTGCCTTGCTTTCACTGGATCCTGCCTCCATCCATTCTTCTCTGACCAGTAATGGACTTAGGGGGACACTGAGTCCCTTGGTGCGGAGTTGGGCTGCAAAAACCAACCCCAAACTTTTCTAGAACGCTAATCAGATGATTTGCAAATGAGACAATACACATGGCTGTCTAATGGGGAGGGGACTTTTACCACGAAAAATACCACTAGTTTAAGACCAGTGCATACAGAAAGTCATTAGCCTTCTCTACAGCAACTGAGTCACAAATCTTCAGGGGTAGAATATGGTGTTTTGATATTCTCTAGGGATTTTAATATGTGTACATGTACATACTTTGTTCTCAATAAACAGGCACAGAAAAGGCTGTTACAGTTTGTAGAGGTCGCTTTGATCATGTAAATGGTAATTATGGTAAGTATACTGTACTGCGAAAACAATATTAAACAATATGTAATAATAAATATTCCCCCTCCCCATTTATACCCAACCCATCTGTGATGTTTCTATGTTTGCATTCTTTATAAAATAAAACTAATTTTGTTTTTAGAGGATGTATTTGTGTGTATTCACAGTGTTACTTGTAGACCCAGTAGGTGGCAGTGTGGTGTAGGGGAATATTTTGACAGCTCATGAAATGACAGAGGATGGAATGTGGACCATGCTAGAGCCCGATAAGCAATATATAAAATCACATTTCTCTAGGTACATTTTCTAGTACAAAGAAAACACTTCTCCAAGAGGGTACATAAAAGTATACACTAAAATACATTTGAATCAAATAATCAAATACATTTGAAACAAGTGATTGTTACATTGCTACATTAAGATGCATTCTGTAGGCGATGAGAGTGGGGGGGGATTACATTTAGATAAAAGATACATTTATATACATTCAGGAAAGAGATACAGCATTTAGATCAAAGATACATTTAGAAACGTTCTTGAAGTCAATGAGAAAGATACAACAACAAAAAATACATTCTTAATAAACGGCGCATTCAGAAAATACGTTTATTGAAGTCCAAGGCACAGTTTACATTCTTGCAGGATATTAAAGTCGAATAATACATATATTTGATATTGGTAGGGTCATTTCCCATTATTCCCCTCTCTGACCCTGATTCTCTTACGACGTGGCTGCAGCTACAAGGGAGCATCCATTGTCTCTCCATGGCCACCGCTGCCAGCCCCCTCCCTTGGGCAGTTTGTAGCAGCCGCTGGAGAATGGGTAAGGAGGAGGAAAGGCTGCTGCCCCCCCCCCAGGTCCAGCCAGCTCTGACTGGCAGGCAGAGAGCAGGGCTGCCCTGGGCAGGAAGAAAGAGGGAGTGGTGCAGAAGGAATCTTGATTTTTCGGGGGGAAGGGGAGCTTTTTGTGTCCACATCTAATATTGCCCCTTTCTAAACTTTTGTGTGTGTGTGTGTGTGTGTGTGTCTTTTTGTACATCAACCAAAGGATAAAATCAGGATTAAGGGGTTTTCTCAGAATGGTGGAGGGCATCTGTGCTATGTCCTGTTGATGTAATGATGGCAGCACTCACCCTTGCTCTGTGGGGAGGGTATCAAGGAGGGCTTACCCTCCAACAGTTCTCTGGTGAAAATAGGGACGTCCCATTCCATAATGATAACATGTTTAATGTATTAGAGTATTTTAATATATTTTTTTGGAAGCCACCCAGAGTGGCTGGGGAAGCCCAGCCAGGTGGGCGGGGTATAAATATTATTATTATTATTATTATTATTATTATTATTATTATTATTATTATTATTATTATTTTACTATTTAAACCCCACACATCTTACTGGGTTGCTCTAGCCACTCTGGGCAGCTCCTAACATATAAAAAATAATAATAAAACATTAAACATTTTTAAAACCTTCCCTATACAGGTTTGCCTTCAGACGACTCAGGAGTTGGGTAACTCCATACCCTCAAACATTT